CTAGCGGAAGAACTGAGTGATCGAAGGGCCCGGGGCGGAAGGCTTGGGCTTGGGCTTGGGACGAGGCTTAGCTTTGGGCTTGGAGGCAGGGGCGCTAGGGAGAGCGAAGCCTGGAGCCTTTAGAGCTGGGGCCTCAAGTGCCAAACCAGGGCTAGCAAGAGCCTGGGCCCGGGGAACCTCCGAAGGAGACCTGGGGCCTTCGAGAGGGGAAGTGGCTTGGGGGTCTGAAACCTCAACCGAAGTGAGGGCAGAAGCAGACGCAGAACCCTGAAGCGAACCCCAGGAACAAGGCACGGGAGGGACCTTAGGGGCAGCGGCAGAGGCAGAAGGAGAAGCCTGGAGCCCAGGGGAAGGGGAACCCTTAGAGAAAAACCCTCGCACCGAAGGAAGCGCACAAGGCGCTACGAGCTTTTTTGGCGCGACGCCCATGCGAAGAGTCACTTGGCCATGACACTGGCCACACTTCCAGGACGGCCCCTGGCGCACAAGGCTGTGTGAGGAGTGGACCGCAAAGGGGCACGAAACCGCAGCCGTTCGGCACGGGAATGAAATGAGACGCTCGAAGGTTTCCGGCGTGTCAACCTGGTACCCAATAGACCCGGTTAGACAGATTTCTGCCGAACCGGTAACTTGTTAGACTTCGGCAGATTCCTGTCGAATCGTTAAAACAACAAGTTGCCGAATTCGGCAAACCTGTGTTGTCGAATCGACAAGTCGTTAACCGAAAGTAGTTGCCGAATACGGCAAAATCTGCCGAATACGACAAAACTGTGTCCGATCCCTCGACACGCGACCAGAGGAAGTTTCGAGGAAGTTTCGCCCAAACTTCGCCCGAAGTTTGGTGGAAGTTTGGGGCGGCTACAAAGGGTTTGAGAGGAAGTTTGGTGGAAGTTTGAAGGCCTGAACCGAGGAAGTTTGGTGGAAGTTTGAAGGCCTGAACCGAGGAAGTTTGGTGGAAGTTTCGTGTTGGCGATTTGGAGCACGAAAAGCTAGGAAATCTTGCACACATGACAAAGATTCAAGGGCGAAGTTCTTTCTTGCTGGTATTTACAGGCTTTTCTGTTTTGGGTTCAGGGTTTAGGGTTTAGGGGTTTAGGGGTTTAGGGTTTAGGGTTTAGGGTTGGGAGAGGAAGTTTGGTGGAAGTTTGGGGGCCCGGGAGAGGAAGTTTGGTGGAAGTTTTGGGGGCTTGGGAGAGGAAGTTTGGTGGAAGTTTTGGCGGCCTGGGCGAGGAAGTTTGATTGAAGTTTGGCCGGGGCCGGGTTGCCGAATCCGGCAGATTCTGCCGGATTCGGCAAACCATGGTTTGCCGAATTCGGCAGGATGGGTCGAATTCGACAACGATGGATCTGCCGAAGATTCGCTTCATTTTGGGCTGCCCAAACCTAAGGATTTTGCCGAAGGATCTGCCGAAACGTGTTGCCGAAAACGACCGATTCAGCTGAATCCTACGATTTCGGGATTAGGCAGCTTTCTGCCTAACCGGGTCTATTGGGTAGATGCAAAGAGAGCACTCGGAGCATTTAACACACATGTTGAAACTCTTCTCCTTAGAGGTGCGAGCCCAAACGTGCCCGCCCGGAAGAGGGGGTTCGTCAAGGAGGGCCTGCAACCTCTGCCTCTTGTTGGGCGAGGGGGAAGAGGAAGACTCAAGAGCGGAGAGGAGGCGGTTCTTCCGCGGCACGAAATCCTCCTTTTCGGCCTTGGCCAAAATTGCGACCGCGCGGTGACCGAGATACTCGCAAACGAGGGAGGTGACACGGTCTACCTCCTTCTGGGCGGCAAGACGGTGTGGGGTCTGAACCTCCTCAGCGCGGTCCCTGGCGAGCTTGTCCGCAAGAGAGTTGAGCTCATGGCGCCACAGGGCGTCAGCGCCAAACTCAAAACAAAAGTCCGAAGGACTAAGGTGAGAGCGAACCCAGTGGGGGTCGGCTCGGTGCCTGTGGTCCCACGCCTTGGCCCACACAAGCGAGGTGCGCTTCGTGAAGGGCCCCTGCAGGCTGCGCAGGGCGGGCTGGCAGTCGCAAGTGAGGTCAAAAGTGCCACGGGAAGAGAGGAGGACCTGAGCAATGGCCTCGCTCTCGCCCTCCGGCACAGAAGCAGGGGCAGGCAAGAGCCCGGACAGGGTGCCCAGCACGACAAGGTCGCCATCGTTCCTGCTGGCAACCACCGCAGCCCAGCCAACCGAGCGGAGGCGGCTATCCTTGGAGGCGGGGCCTCCGGAAGCGTCGGTGGCAACGTAGAGCCCGGTTAGGTCCGGGGTGCCTTCGAGGAAGAGACCTGTACGGCGTACCTCAGCCTCGCGGGCGAGGGGCTCGCGGGTGGTAAGGGGGCGCATACCGCGCAACCAAAGGCAGTCGGCAGGATGCCGCCGCTTGTAGGACAGCAGCCACCCCGCGGGCATGAGGGCGCCGGGGATTTTTTCGCACTCGTAAAGGAGGTGGTGCAGGGTGTTGGGGCCGCCACAGAACTTGCACCGTTCCTTCCCTCCGTTGCCCGAATGGAGGAGGGCGCCTTGAAAGACGGCCCTAAGGCCATGCCGCCAGGGCTTCGTCCGAGGACTGGCTAAGAGGCGGCGAGGCACGGTCCAATCGATGCCAGGGGCGGCACCAGCGGCAGTGGAGACGGCGCCGATACGGGACCAGCGCTCGAGCTGAATGACCTGGCGGAGGAAAGCAGAGGCCTCAAAAACCGCTCCCGGATCGCGGAAGCGGAAGTGAAAGGTAGCCTCGCGGTGTGTCCAGACCTCAGGGGTAGGGGCAGACACCCGCAAGTCCAGCAAGTACTGGATGAGCGCGGAAACGGGACCGTTCACGATTTTCCACCCATGGGTGGCAGAGGCCTGTCTGGACCAGGAGGAGGCCCAAGTGCGGGTGAGTAACCGCACGCCTTCGGGTGAGGCGCTGGAGGCAAGACGCCCAAGGGCCTGGAGCTGTTCCACTACCACAAGCTGGTGTGGGTCAACGGCCTTGTGGGACATGAGGTCGAGAATAACGTCGGCGGAGCCGTGCTCAAAACGACCAGCCTCGCGCGCAACCGCCGAGCGTAAGACCTTAAGGCGCTTAGGGGCAACCCCTACGGCCTGATGGCCATAAAGGCCAGCCTTAAGGGCGGAGGCTTGGAGCAGCCGGCCACGCACCCACCTGCGGCGAATGCGGAGGCGGCGCATGTGGCGGACACGGCCGATGCCAGTGCGAAAGCGCTTTTGAGCGGTGGTGATGCGCCGCCGTCGGCCAGCCGCGCAGTCAAGACCTAGGTCCTTAACAAGGTCAGCGGTGTCGGGTTCGCCCGGGCGCCGCAGCTGCTGAAGCGCGGCGCAAGCGCGGGCCGTACCGGCGACGAACTTGTGGTCTTCGTGGTCTCAACCTCTAGGCCCTCAAGGCCGAGGGAGGTATGAAGAACCCGCAACAAAACAGCAAAACGAGAGCTTCAACCACGAAGCAGGAAAGACGCAAACGAAACATGCAGGCAATCGAAAAAACACGTGAGGGCAGGACAAGGAAGGGAGGGGAACCAAAAAAGGAAAACGAGCGGGGGAGGACGAAGAGAGAGGGAGGGGGGGGGAGGGGAGGGGGGGGGGCAGGATGACCACAGCGGCCGGGGCAGGGGGGGGGGGCAGGGGGGGGGAGCGGGGGGGGGGGGCAGCAAAAAAGGACGGAAGCCGGGCAAGGGGGTCGAAAACAGTCGCTAAAAGCGGGTGGAAGTTTGCATTTAACTTGCAGAGAAGGATTAGGTAGAGGGTTGGTTAGTATTAACGATCAAGACGCCAGGGGCCTCTGGCCTCGGCGGATTAATCCGCAGGCTGAAGCCCACTAGGCCTCGCTTAAAGGGCTGGCCCCCAACCTGTGGCTGAGGTCCTTGACTTCTCCTGGAGCGACGTTGGACAGAAGAGCCTATGTTTTCGTGGAGTTGAGAAAGTCGTGACTCAGAGACGACACGCCTGGGAAACCTCAGATTTGCAAGGGTCCCTCCGACTGACACGGCCTCTCGACGGACACGCGGCGATCAACGGGCCCACTACACCCAACCACTTGTGGCAGACGGTGACAGTGATGGGACGTCTGGCGCGTTGACAGACTAATGCAAGCTTGCTCGATGCAAGACTGAAGCCTGAATTGCGATGTCTGCGATTCGCGGCTGGCCGTGTGACTGGCACACAGCGCGAGACGTGGACAAGTCGCTGCCCATGCAGCAAGATGGGAAAGCTGCCCCATATCATAAGATATCTGAATCCCAGGCAGCCCGGTGCCCACTCGAAGGGGCTGTACGACGGCAATGCTTTTTCGTTTGCTTCTCTCCTAACTGACAGTCACCTGCATTCGGGCAGTTCGTCCAGAAGTTCATGCTGAGCTTGACAACCATGCTGGCCAGCAACAGGCCGTCCAGGTCCGCCAGGGAGCCGAGATCCGTGAAGATGTGAGCCAGCAGTCTGGCAGCCAGGAAGAACACCTGCAGGTGCAGCACTAACTGCAGTAGGCGCCTGACCGGCTTCTGGCAGCAGCCACACTGAAATAACCAATGTTCACGTCCCTGCAAGGAAGATGGCCTTTTTCTTGTACAAGCCCGCAATTGGGTAAATGGGGAAAGTTAGGGACGCCGTAAACCCCATCTACCCTCGTCACCAGCGATACCGTTCTCAGGCCACTGTGCCCAAGCCCAAACCCAAAGCACTCACACCTGAACCCTCTAATTCGGGAGGGGGAGGGGGGGCAATGAAGCTTGGAGTTTAAGTCGACTGAACAACTCTGTTGACTCCTGAAGTCCATATTCATATTGCGATGGTCATGTCAATGTGACGCAAGGGAGTGAGCAGGTAGTTCGTGTCACTTTGCTAGACCGATGTACCGACTGCGAGCGTGGCTCGAAGGGCCTCCTCGTGTTTGCTTATGACTTTGTGCCAGACCCAGGTGTTTTTGCGGTGTACTTACACAGCAGCGCACAAGGGAAGCACGGCTACAATAGGTATCATTCGCAGCAGTCTTCTTTGCCGTTGTATCGGGAGGCTGCTCGCTGGTTGGCCAAGAACCTAACGACGGCAAATCTGCTGGACCGTCTAGCGGCCTGCGAGGAGAACTGCGCTCAGAAGAAGAGCTCAGACGGCTAAAGACAATCCTGCTTGGCTTTGCCGAGGTTTGGTCTGCAAGATGTCAAGGAAAAGATCCTTGAGCAGCTGACTGCGAACACCGATGCCTTTCCCCAAGAGCAGAAGCACAGGACACTGCTCGCCCGTCCGCTTGCACCAGCTGTTGTGCGTCGTTTCCGCCGACTTGCGTCAACACACCTTGTCTCCACTGACCCAAGGTATTATACGAGATGGTTAGCAACCCCTCTGCCGGCAGCCCAGTGGTTTCGAGTCTCTGGCTGGGGTTCTGCCGCACAACTAAGCGACACTTCCTCCGTGCGCTGCAAATTTTGAATGCCCTGCTTGCAAGACTCGTTTTCCGCTGCGAACAATGCTCCACACCTAGTCACACTTTGGTCTGTGTCCGAGGTTCGATCCGTGCCTGGCGTACTGCAAGACCTCCTACTGCAAGGGCCTTGAAACTTCGAATGGCAGGTCCTTTCCATGCAGAAGCAGTGCAGGAAACTGCATGCAGTCTCAGAAGATCCTTCCCCAAACTTCTGAGCGCCCTCCCTTAGACCAGACTGCGGCCGCCGTAGATCCTCACTACTGTTGATCATATAAATCTGCATTGCTGGAGGGATCCTAAACTATGGTAATAGTGGTATATTCCTGATTATGGGTCATGCATGATTTATATCATCAACCGTAATCCCTAAACCCTAAACCCCCCCTATAAATCCCTTAAAGGAGCACTTTTTAAGGTACCCCTTATGGATCCCTTTAAGGGAACCCGTATTCCCCATTTTCGAGGCGAGTTCTTCAGCTTCTCGGCTGTGGCCCTCCCCAGCCGCGGATCGGTTCGGAACTCAGAGCACCAAGCCTCCAGGGCTGCCATGCGCGGCCGAAGACTGCAGGTGGAGTCCCAATAAATCATATAGTATATATTGTCTTATATGTTACATAGTATATACATAACATATATATAGTAGATATTACACCTTATATCTTATATAGTATTTTATATAGCTACAAGGGCACCGGTCACCATGTTGGCAGAAGCCCGGTGGCTTCCTGCGCTCCTGGTGAGGTGGCACTGCGACGAAGGATCAGCCGCTGAAGAAGGTCAGCTCTGCCCCCCACAGCGGCTGTACGTAAAGGATCATGGGACCTAGCAACTAGGGTTATAGTTATAATTAGGGTAACTATACTTATAACCCCAATCAAGGTACTTATAACCTTGCTTACTAAGTCCCATGATCCTCCAAGTAGAGGGTCAAATGGTGGGAATGGGGTCGTAGCCGCGAGGCAGATGCCTGAGATCCTCTCGTGAGTGTCACGCCGGCGTTGTGGGCAGACGCCGGTATCCGGCAGAGCTATACGTTGTTTCGAATCGTCAAGGGCAGACATGAATCTTGAAAATTTAGAGCTGTGGCGGTAGACATCCGGTGGCATATCATGTGTTACTCTGCCTCCTAATTAGAACAACTCAATTTGTTTGATGCACCTGCATGGTTCGGCTTCATGCTTTGAAAGCAGAGGGTCGAAGACGGTCAGGTACGGCGTTCGGGATGTGGAGAGTTCAAGCAGTCGTTTGTTTTGAGCGATTGTTGCTTTATTCGCTTTCGGACGGACTGTTCCTGCCTTCTGGAAATTTATACAGACTGGGTAGCCCCAGTTCGAAGATGCACGGCTGGTGCGGTAGAGTTGCAAGCTGGACTCACGACCTGCGACTAGCGGGTTCGAAGGTCGCCGGGTGGATCAGCCCACAAAGGTGCACGCGATCTGGAAACCAACAAAAGCTGCACTGCGAGACATGAAGTTGGACCCCGGCTGTAACTGGGCAAAAGTCCAGAAAGCAGAAGGACATGAAGGCTAAGTTGTTCAAGCAAAAAGCCAAAGGCCCCTCCAGTCTTGCATCACCTGGTAGGCAATCCTGAGCCGGGAGGGGGGTCAAAAAAAAAATTACAAAGGATCAACAAAAATTTTAGGAAGGATCAAAAACAAATTTAGAAAGGATCAAAAACAAATTTAGCGTTTACGAGGTAAATTGCCTGTTTCCCCGCTTGACAGCCTTCGGCTTCTGGGCTCTTGGCTTCTGTGCTGCCTGGCTCCGCGGCTTTTTTTGGCTTCTGGGCTCCGTTGGCTTTCTGGCTTCTCGGCTTCTTGGGTTCCTGGCTTCTTGGCTTCCGGGCGGCTTGGCTGCTTGGCTTCTTGGCTTCCTGCCTTCTTGGCTTCCGGGCGGCTTGGCTTCTTGGCTGCTTGGCTTCTAGGCTTCCTTGCCGGCTTCTTGGCTTCTCGGGTTCTTGGCTTCTTGGCTTCGGTACGCTCCGCTTTTTACTGCTTTCTTGGCTTGTTGTTTTTGCGTTCGTTTTCTGTCTTGTTGTGCTTCTTGCTTGTATATACACACGTACACGCCTACATGCATACACACCGACCTGCACTTGTTCTTGCTCACGCTCTGCTTTTCTGTTTGTTAGTCTTCGCATGTGCTTTTCCATTGTCGTACTACGTTCCTCGGAGTTGTGGAGACGCCGATAATACTGCAGACTCTTGTCTCCTTTTAGTATTGTGTCTATTCTTTCTCTCAGTTCTAGTCTTATGATTTGATTACAAAAAAATGGTTTTGTTCATACTGTCTCATAGTCTGTTAGTGTTATTACAATCATGTGATTTGTATGTTATCATCTTTTCCTATGAGTATCATTATGAATATTCTCAGTACTGTTGTTACTAGTAGCAGTATACACACATACATACATAAATGAATAAATGTAAATCTATATATATATATATAGCTATACACATATCTGTGGTAAGCCCGTGTATATATACAATAATAGAAACCATAGACCAGCATGTAGCACAACTACAGTATCTCCGTCGCGCAAACCTCAGATCTCCGAGCTGCCACTGGTAGGGGAGGCGCCGTGGTAGCAAGGGTGGGTGACAGCGACGAGCTTGGGGGCGGCCACGCGGAGATATTGGAATAGCACTTGCCGTTGTTTGCAGCAAATCTCCAATCCCTAAATTTGTTTTTGATCCTTCCTAAATTTCTTCTTGATCCGTTCAGCCTAGATTTGTTTTTGATCCTTTTTAAATTTTTTTTGATCCTCCACCCATCCTGAGCCCCGGTCCGCCGAATGTCAGAACGTCTTGGCTTGCAGTCCTGGATTGGTTCGAAGCATCGCAGGGGAGAGCAGAGGCCTTGGCTCTTGACAATCTCCAAAGCCAGCTGCAGCCGCATGTTCCGGTGGCTCGCTCCCCACACTTGAAGGATCATGGGACTTAGTAACTGGGGTTATAATTAGGCTAAGTATACTTATAAATAACCCCAATCAAGGTGCTTATAGCCTTACTTACTAAGTCCCATGATCCTCCAAGCACAATGTAGAGCCCGGACCTTGAGTTGCGCCCGCCCGAGGTAATGAAGCCCTTGGCCTCTATGCTGGTGGAGTAACCTACAGTCTTGCTATGATCCTAGATCTTAGATCGTTGCTGCAGATAATCATTGTGGACCATTGTGATGACTCAGTGAAACCCCGAACCCCAAACCGGGCCCCAAAAAAAGCCTGAACTCCTAAACTCTTAATTACATAACCCTAAACCCCAAGCATCCCAATACCCTACAGACCCATCTCGCTGCCTCTCTTGGCTCGAAGTTTCATGTAAGAAAAGAGCTTCGGGGATGAAACCTCCCCCGTGGTCGGGGCCCTTCTTAGAGGGCCGGGATCGCCGAACCGACGGCCGGGAGCCCATGTTAGGGGCGATTTAGGGGTTTAGGGTTTGTGTTGAGGGTGTGGGTCTAGGGGTGTAGGGGTTAAAGGTTTTGCGGGTATTTAAGGGGTTTAGGGGCTGGGGCTTGGGGGTATAGTGCTAGGGATTTAGGCCTTAAGGAGTTTAGGGGTTAGGGATCAGCGGTGTACGGGCCGAGTGGAAATCTGCCATCCGATGCCCCGATGCTGTGCTGAGGCCATTGCTAGCGTGGGGGAGACCTTCCGAGGCCTGAGTACAAAGAATTCATCACATATATATATATATATATATATATATATACATACATTTAAGTGTATGTATATATATATATATATATATATATATATATATGATGCACACATATTGTTAACACTTAATCGTCTATCTATCTATCTATCTATCTATCTATATATATATATATATATATATTACGTGTTCGTTGGCCTTCGTTCTCGGTTGCAATTCGTTGCAAGCCGATGCACTTGCGCACTCGCCAGGTCTGCTTGGGTTCGCGCTGAAATGGGACAGGCGCCTGACGAAAGATCGGCTCATGAGGGGCTCCTTTTAGGTTTAGGGTTTTAGGTTTAAGGTACTGTATTAGGGCCCCCTATTTTTGGAACCCCCCACATCAGCTTCTTGCCGTGGGGGAGCCTGTCTCGTCCCGGGCAGTTTTGCTGCTGCAATCCTGTCATGACATGCAGGTCGGAGGCCGGGAGAAGCTCGATGAGATCTATTTCGTGCAGAAGGCCAGCGGGCAAGAGCACTGATGTCGGACCTGACTTGCGCCGGCTCGATTCGTCGATCTCTTCAGTTTGCATGCTGGGCAACCAGGTGCCTTGCGACACTTGGTTGGCTTGCAATAGCCGGGTACTGTCGGCTTGGCTTTGAGAGACCTTATCATGTGCAAGGCTCCACATCATCATCTCTTGGCTGAGCAGGTGAAGCTGGGACAGGGAAGCTTCGGCACGGTTTGGCGAGCAAAGAATCGAAAGAGCGGCATCACCGACCCTGCCTCAGCACACAGTGTTGGTTGGACTTTGGTTGCAGGAAGTCACCGAGTTAGCATCATAACGTCGCGTTGCCGCTTGATGGACATCTCGGCGAGTAAGATGCATTTTTTCTCGGAGAGGTGGTCTGAGGGAATTCATGTCGGAAGAAGAGTTCAATGGCATGGGTGGATTTCTCCAGGAAGGTACACAATGCCTCCATTCTTCACAAATCCATCCGCCGGGGATCCCCTTTGCATTTTCGGAAGGCTAATCGATGTTCCGGTAGTAAACGGTCCAGGCTCACCTGTACTGAGAGGTTCTCACGCAGCTGCTCTGTTCAAGGTCGCTATCAAGCAGATGGACAAGGCCAGCATGCCAAAGCGGGGCGCCACTCCCTCGGTTCCGTCTTGATTGTTTGCCTGTGCATACAACATACTGATAACAGTATAGAAAATATGGTACAAGGTAATGGCGTGTGCAGCATGATACAGTATGATTTAGCAGAATCTAGTATAGTAGAATATCGCACAGTATCACATGTTATACTACACTATATGATTACCTAGAAGAGAATAACACAAGCGTAGTCTAATATAGTAGACTGTTCTATAACGTAACGTAGCATAGTGCATTGGACTACACAGTTATCTTGTATAATGTGTATCACATAATAGAATCCAATGTAATTACAGAATGTTGTTTTACCAAAATATAACAACATGTAACATAGTGTCACATGATTCAGTAATGCAAGAATGTAATCTGAACAGGTAGTCATGCAATACAACATACGATATGCAGGTTGATGCATTTTGTGTCGATGTTGCACGAGTGCAGCTGCCGCCACCTCAGCGTCCAGCTAAAAGAAATGTTGTGGACTGAGGTGAAGCGCCACGATATCGAAAGGGAAGTGTCCATGATGAGAGCTCCGTGCCCAAATTGTGTCGGCAATGTTGATGTGACTGTGACTTGCGTTTTGTGTGTCATGGACAAAGTTCGGTCGCGAACAAGCTGAAGGCTTGCTCTCATGAGTACATCACGAAGCTGTACGACACCTTCGAGGAGTGTTTTCAGAGCATTGGTGTTCCTTTTCGTCACCTTCTGTAGCTACCAGATTACTAGATTGCTAGATTTCCTCTGGATCGCTGAGAACGACCTCTCAAGTCGCGAAAGGCCCGTTCCCACGTACTTAAAGGAAGAATGCCGTTCCCCTTTGCGGCTGCCACTCTCGGAGCTCCTCTAGCCTATCTTCCAGTTCAATCTGCAGCTGCACAAAGTTTTGCGATGTTGCCACGAAGACCGAGATGAAGCATACACTACCAGGTATTACAATATAATACCATGGTATACTACAGTAAGATTCTGTAAGAGACTGTAAGATATACGTCAGAAGTGAGGGATGTCGGTGACCTGTGAGCCCACATTGTTTCAGGACCAGGCCAGTATCTACCTGGCATTGGAGTACTGTGATGGAGGTGACTTTGGCGACAAGGCCCACCTTCCACTGCAGCATCTGGCACCTCAAAAGCATCAAAGCCTTAAATTGAACTCCCAGAAGCCCAAAGCCTAAGCCCAAAGTTTTGGAAGCCGCAAAGAGCCCGTTTGGGAGTCTTGCACCTTGCAAGCCCTAGAGTTCGAAGCGCGATAGCACCTATGAAGCACGGCTCCCCACACCATACGCCAAGCACAACCCTAAACCGCGCAAACCCCCAAATCCTGGCTTTCGCATCTTCTGACAGGTTCGAGAGCTTGGACCTGTCGGCTCCTGAGGGGAAAAGTGGGAGCCTGGTTGTCATAGTTACAACCATCAATAGTGATGGATTGGTTTCAAAAACAATAAGAAGAGGAACGAAACGATTTCGGGAACCTGATTGTCGGGAAATCATGCTTCAGTGCTTTAGGTTTTTTAGTTTGGTAATCTGTGTAAGTACCAGTAGCGAATGGGGGTGGAAACTCACGAGCCTGATAGAGAACCAGGTTCTTTTCACGAAACTGGCCGAGGGCTCCATTAAGAACTACGTTGCTACGTAGGCGCCCTTCCCGTGCAGCATGCCCAGTTTTTTTTGTGATGTCTCAGGTCATCAAGGAGGAAGATACGGCCGAGTGGATGCGACAAATGTGTTCTACTGGCGCGGAATTACGGTTTTACAGTTTGAATGCCGGCCTGTTGTATTAAGGAAAGACCTTGCATTGTAGGGGGATCCTCAAAAATGCTTAGGCTATGTATTCGTTAGGTTTAGGGCTTAATTATGGCTGAGGGTCCCTAGTTACTGAACTCGGAATATCTTCTGCGCCATTGCCAGGCGAAGCTCTGTACCATCTGCACAGCAAAGGCTGGAGCTCGTGCCGTCCCTGACCGGCTTTACCTAACTATCATATCTCCCTGCAGGCATATGCCACAGGGACATCAAGTCCACGACCCTGCCGTGTGCATTCAATTCTGTGCTCGCTGTCTTGATGATGAAACTCTAAAGAGGCGGTTCTTTGTTGTGCTGAGGCCTGACAACTTCATGGTCTTGGGGGCAGGGGACCTGGAGGGCGGCATGTGGGTAGTTGTCAGAATTGTGGCTCCGGTTTTTGGATACCCTAGTTAGGTGCCGTAGTATAGTAATATCCCTGTTACTAAGTCCCATGATCCTCTAAGTAACCCCAAAAAAGGGACCCTAATTTTGACAACCGCCTTTCTGTGGCCCTTCGAGACAATGACGCTTCGACGCAGAGCTTGGAGACTGGAGTTGGTGTCTCCCGAGGACTCCACTTTGAAACTGTCGGACTTCGGCCTAGCGGTGCACCTGCCACCAGGCAGGACTCATTCTGTTAGAGCATGTTATAGTATACTATATAGTATATTATTATCGTAATATTATGGTTCATTATGGTATATCAAAGTACTAGTGGATCATGGTATGACACGTGCTGGGCACAGTCAAAGCATCCTGGTGCGCCAGGTGGCATCCTAACTGACAAGTGCGGCACGCCCGCCTTCATGGCGCCTTTGCCCCAGCTCTGTGACAGCTCAGGGTCGCGGCCCTAAGCCCTAAACCCCCGAATCCCTAAACGATGCAAGGCCGGAGCAGCACATGATGCCGGTTCACAGCCGTGGCTATGGCTTTCCGGTGGACATGTGGGCAGCCGGCGTGTCAATGTGCGCCAGAACCCATCGATTTACGGCCGTTGAGCCGGAAACCTTCGGTGCGAGTTGTGTCTGCAGAGTGGTTAGAATTTGCTGAATGCTGCTTGCGCCCGCCGGGTTACCAGTCTACGCTGCGAGAGCCTTTAGGATAGGTGTGTTGCCATGGGAGGTGCATTTTGCCGCCTCTGCTGCAACCGCCCCAGCGAGAGCGGTGATGCTCTCGATGAGTTGGGCGGGAAGCCGTGGCCAGAAAAGCAGACCGAGGACTTCGTGGGCCTGGAGGCTTCATGCAGAGACCGAAGCTATGTGAACCGCATGATGTGGCTGACTTTTGCAGGGTTTCCGAAGATAAATGCCTGGGAGCGACAAGTTGCTTGGGAGGCTGTCCCGTCTCCCATTGTGAATGGGCTGTCCTTGCTAGAGCAAAGCCAGAGCAATACGCCGGAGTCTCTCAAAGTGCTGGCTGAAGCTTTGAAGACCCAGAAGACGGTGATTGTCGGTTCTGTTCGAATGGGCTATGGCCACCACCGCATCGCCTATTCTGCGCTGACCTGGGCATTGGAGCTTGGAGGAAAGCCCTTCTTACTGGACATCCTCTCCCCTGACTGCATCGAGGCGGCCGTGGTCCGAAATATGGACAAGCCGCTTAGCGCTCATGGCAAGAAACGCCACTCCATGAGAGTTATCCGTATGCGTACCTAATTCGTGTCCCCGCCCACTCAGGCAGTACTCTCGCATGTCTCGCATCGCTTCCAATCTTGGTGGAGTGTTCGATGCCATCTGGGGCAAAATGATGCTTCAAGGTGATGCAAATGCCCTCAGACGCACAGCCACACTTCAGGTGCATGTTCATCCTCTGCTTTCTGCTCTCCTCGGATAGTTTGCTTAGGTTCGACTAGTCCACCTTGCCTTGGGGCGACTTAGACCGAAGCTCTCAGGACTCAGCTTGGCATTGGCTCAGCGCATTCGTGGCATAATGGCGGCATTTCCGAAAGACGTGCCGGCACCTCCCTGGCACGCCAGATCATATTCACATGTTTTCACAGACTGGAAGTTCGCCAGAAGTGGGCTTAATTAAATTAGTCTGTTGCTAGATTAGAGGCTCCGATCTCTCAGCTTGGAGAAGTGGACAGCGCTTTGAAGCCGGCTCGGGCCCGATGTATTTCCAAGGTCATTACCACCCACCCGTTTGTCGGCAACATGGCTGTGGCTTGCGGCTTCAAGCATGTCATCAACTTGATCTTCGACAACCTTCCACAGCCCCCCAGCCTTTGCAAGAAGAAAGGCTTCTTCATAGCTTTGGTTTGACATCTTCCGTCATACTGATACTCCTGCGCTAGCAGTTCCAGGTACTTCGTCCTGGTTCCAGGTGCACTGAACCTGGTGCAGTCCCCTTCGTACTTCGACAAGCTCCTTGACATGGGATGTCCTGCAAAGAGTCTTCGCCTGGCTGGGCACTGGGTGTCCAGTGACCTTTGCATCAACGCCGTTGCAGACAGCAAGTCGCGTATCGAACGGTCTGAACAAAACCTGCCACGGCGATTCCTCATCGCAGTCGGTGGAGCAGGTGCTCAGAGTGCCTTTCTTTCCGGCCTGCTCTCTGCCATGGCACCCCTCCTTCGGGACAAGAAGATCCGCATCTACTTGAATTGCGGGGACCACAAGCACATCGCAGATGCCGTGGTCTCAAAGCTCAGAGCCTTGGAGCTCGACTGGAACGAGGTGACGTCGAGCGAGGGCACCGTCTCCCTTTGCAAGAAAGAGGCGCTGGACCTCCTCGAGGAGCCGCCAAACTGGAAGGACCCACCGGTTCTAGGGTTTAGGGGTTTAGGGTTTAGGGTGTCCTACCAGTAAGGTCAATCCAGAGTCAGAAGGTCTGTGCTTGTGCATCGAAGGCTCTTTGTTGTCCTCAGTGCAGGCTGTGACGGTCTTCCGCTTCGACTCGCACTTTGCCGCATTCCGCTGCACAGACCTGGTGATTCGTGTGGCAGATGTGTCGCTTCGCTGGAGCTATCAAATTTAGGCCTTTAGGCTCCGGGCACTTTCTTTAATAATACTAGTAATACGAATAATCGAATAATCTGAATGATAATAAAAGTACTAGTAGTAACAAGAATACTAACAGCCCGGAATCGTGAGGCTCGTGACGAAGCCATCGGAGCTGGCCTTCTTTCCGGCGCCGCGCCTGCAAAAGTCTGCTGGGAGATGTCGCGTCTCCCGCCATGTCGCGGCATGCTGCGTGTTGGGTTGCCGAGCGTGTTGGGTTGCCGATAACCATGATAACAGCAAAAAATGATAACTGCAGTGCAGCAAATACTGTTAATATTAAGAATAACAATGAAAATAGCACTAATAACAGCAATGATCTAGAAATAATGGACTGAGGTTCCAAAGCTCCACATCCGCCGTGTCGGGGCGCACGAGGCCCACTCGGCAGTGCGAGCCCAAGAGCTCGGCGATGGAAGCGTCGAGTGCCGCGAGGCTCCACGGCGTCGTCCATTATCATTACTACTACTATTGTAAGTGTTATGGCTATTGTTGTTACTATTACTACTAGTGCTATTGGTACTATTATTACTACCATTACTGTTGTGGCTATTATGACTATTATTACTATTACTAGTTTTGTTTGTTGTGGACAACTGTAGAGGTGCCCCACGCGATGCAAAAGCTGGGTCAGCTCATCGAGCCTCAATCGCCACTCTTCCGGCTGATGACGCTGTGCTAAACTTAACGTGAAGCCACTGACTTGCATTTTGCATCGAGGGGAAGAGGGCAATGTTGCAACATGTTGTGGGCAGCTGGTAGCATGGAATGAGGCTTGCTGCTTCAGTTTCAGCAATAGCCTGTCACCATGGGAAGGAACGAGTGCATCATCAAGGCGGCCGAGCAGAAAGTCTATGAGGGAAGCAGGGTGGCTTGCGAGTTTGCCTTCGGTGCGCAGTAGTGACAGCCAGCAGGGCCCCCCAGGGCCCTTGTGCAGCTTTCGGGGCTGAGCTCTGATGGTGAAAGAATGGCCGATATTGATTAAAGGGTTTTTCAATGATCCTTAGCTTCCTGTAGGTGTCACCCTGGTGTAGAGTACATCTCAGGGGATGCAGCCCAAAGGCGCTCCAAAGCATCGAACTTGGAGTGCTCTTGGAGAGACCCTCTGGATAAAGCTTGCTGATGAAGCAGGGTTCTTGTGTGCCTTCGCCATCTCGAGCTGATAAGCTCGCGTACTCGCGCGTTTGAAAGGCATACACTGCGGCTCAAAATGAACTCACGATTGGGCTCAACGCTGTCGATGGTTGGTCGAAGAGAGCAGGCATGATGTCCAATAGTGCCACATTGGGTTCGGTTTGATGTTGTAAGATGACCGAACGATCACAGGTACATGATCATCTTTGGTGGCAAGCATCCGTTTCTGAATCGGCGGAACGAGCTGGACCAGAGACTAATGCCCATGTCTGAGCGCCGCTGAATACCTTGCAGACTACTCCGAGCGTAAGAGTAATCGTTTGCCTTCCACGAGGCTTGAGGGGAAATTGGACTTCACGGACACTTCCTCCGCAACTTGCTTGCATGTCATGGCATGGCATATAGTAGACGACATTGGACGACTATTCCTTCTGCACACGACGCGTGATCCCGCTGCCCTGCCAGCTGCGCCACCCACGACAGGTCAACTCCAAGCCGCTACGCACAGCGCATAACAGAGGGGCCTAAATAGTTACCTCTACTGCTTTGGGGGTATTCTAATTATTAAGGCCCCTCTTCTGCAGCGCAGTTGTCCGAGGTTGCTGCTCAAGGTCTAGGCCTTTTCGGCTGGGAGCTTAGCGCAGTTCCTGGAAACCGCGAGTGCTTGGAGGATCATGGGACTTAGTAAGTAAGGTTTTAAGTACCCTAATTAAAACCCTAGTTCCTAGACCCTCCATCTAACCTCTATTAGACCCTAAATGCCCCCTTATTTGGGACCATATACCCCTATTTGAGGGTACAAGGAGGGTCCTGATTACTAAACCCTAAACCTTAAACCCTAAACCCTAAACCCCTAAACCCTAAACCCCTAAACCCTAAACCCTAAACCCTGTGCGAGCCCGACCCCGGGGCCCTGGAGGTCTGAGCGAAACGATCCAGAAGTTCTCGGAATCCGCGAGGCCTCGACTTGGGTTGTCAAAATGATGGCCCCCTTTTTTAGGTACCTTAAATATTAGGTGCCGTATTATAATAAGGATCCAAAAAGGGACCACAATTTTGACAACCACCCGAATTTGGTTGTGGATTAAGGGGCCGAGCCGCTGAGATCTCTCTTTCTGGCACAGGTCCTTCTGCAAGCAGTTGGCCAACAGCTCACGAACCTTTGGTCCGAGTCAAAACACAGAGGTTCGTTGTGTACTCAGGTTCAGGTCAATCCTTCGTCGCGGCTTTCGGCGAGCAATGCTATTAGGCCATGCCGGTCTGGCCAGTGGTTTTGTGGGGCCCGGCACCAATTCTGCCCGCTGCAGGGTGGCGTGGCTGAGCTCCGGAAGGCCCGCTGAGCTTTCAGGAGCCAGGCAGTAATCGCATTGCTTCAGAGTCAACGAGTTTGGGTGATTGTTGTAACGTGTCGAACATAGGGAGCCAACTAGAGGAACTAGAGCCGGGGATCTGCCCAGGCGGGTGGCGGAGCAGAAGAGGAAACTCACCGAAGGCCGCACGGGCAAAATGGAAAGGGACCGGCTGTGCCGAAGATTTCGCACGGCCCAGGAAGTCCCAGCGACGCAGAGGTGCCAAGGATGTTGCGAGATTCCGAGTTTCCAAAGCTGCTTCTGTGACGGTTTTTGAGGCCGCCGCTGGCAAAGCTGAGTCGCGGCCGCGTGCACGCTCAGCGAGGTCTGCGCAATCAGATGTGCCCGGCGCCCGAGACGACCGAGACAGAAAGTCCCATGGGCTAAAAGTTACCCGCTGAGGCCGAGTCCCATGGGATACCCACAGGCAAGGCCCTGCACGAGCCAGCGCTGCTTCTGAGAGAATCTCGTGTCCCCTGCAGGGCGATGGCCGCACACCAAAGGGCGCCGGAAAGGGCCCATCGGACAGGTGCTGCCCGGTGTGGCAGTTCAGAGAGTCAAGCGGAGACCCGACTCTGTCAGGTTCGGCATGGAAGCGCCTAAGGCCAGCCCAGGGTCCTGAGGACATGGGTACGCAACTATGCAGTGTATACAGTGATCTGTTAGTTAGTTACTACAGTGGAAGCCAAAAAATTGGAAGATGGCAGACCTGTTTTCCCGCACGTTCCTTGGCAGGAGAACCCAGCATGTTCCATGTTTGGACTGTTCCAACATCTTAGTTGGCGGTTGAAAGTTGGCACAAAGGACACCGCCGCCACCAATTTCAAATGCCGAACCCAACATTTGGAGCGAAGCCTTCAAATCTGCATTTCCAATTGGAGATTGTACGAGTATTCCACCACAATGAACCAAAATTGTAGCTGTAACACCTTCCGCGGCTTCATGTCCACGCCTGTCAGGAGCCGGTAGGCACAGCTCTAAGGATTTTTTGGCGTAGGGGAAGTTTGCACTCCGTCTCGATCTGATCTCTAGTAGGTCAGTCTTGTGCATGTCTCGGTTGTGTTTTGGCTGGAGGGGTAAGCGTTCGAAGGTGTCGGCATCTAGCAAGTTGAGTGGTGAAGTTGATGTGGATGTGCATGCCCAGTAGCACCATGCTTTCAATGTGTCCCCGAGATATCCCTTCACCGCACGCGCAGACGGCACTTGCACCGGTCCAGGCGCCTCTGCCAGTGCCTCCGAAAGGTGGTGCGTTCGAAACTCAGTCATCGGTCGGTCGCGAGTCGCGGCATGGGGACCATGTGAGTATCTTCACCAAGATGTAATTGGTGTTCTCGCATTGCTACATATAAGGCCAAAAAGCGAATCGGTGCTGATTCGGCAAGAGCGGGGCACTTGCAGATGCTGCAGAGTGTGGCAATGATTCGCGTTGTGGTCGAAGTCGCATGTTTCACACGGTGCGCGAAACATCTCCGGCACAGGCTTGCCATTGCGAACAAATTTCTGGGTGTGTTCTGTCCCAGAGCATAAGATAGGGCCATAGAGCGTCCCCGGAACCGCAAAGAGTTAAACCTTCACCCACAAGACCCATACTCTAGGCCTCTAAGCCCCAAGCCCATCCAAGCCCTAACCTAAACCCTGTAATCCTTAGCCCGTAGACTCCGTGAGCCCCTTCACGCCCTAAACCCTGATCCGCTCGAGCCTAAACCCCTAAACCCTACGGTAAATCCCAAACCCTAAACCCCCAAACCCCAAATCCTAAACACTAAACCCCTAAACCCGAAACATGAAGCAAGAGGCTGGAAGAGCTGAAGCAATCGAAAGCTGAGCTCGAAGCGCAGCTCGTGGAGGTCAGGGAACCGGGAGAAAGCCGAAAACCCATGAATTTGTGGAGTGTACTTTACGTCATGAAATATGGATCCCGCTCTAGTGCTTTGTTCCTTAGATGACATAGGGGACCTTCAAACATCGGGGGATCCATGTCGGTCTACCGTTGATTGAGAGGTTGTGGAGTTTTTGGGAACAGGCCCAAACCCGGCTCCTTGAGATCGCGGTGGATGGGTGCCTTTTTTAGGGGGTTGAGGGTTTAGGGTTACCCTTCTGTGTTTTAGCGTTCGGGTTTTGGGGCTCTGGATTCAATTTAGGGCAATAAGTGTCAGCCTTTTGATGCCTAGCATGGGCAAGCCAGCTCATCAAGCTTCGAAGGCGGTTGAAGGGTTTGTGGTCTGCTGGCCTACAGTAGTGTTTCCTGTCTCGTTTTGAGGGCTTGTTTGAATGCAAGCGTTAGAATAACCCTTCTGGATCCATCTGGATCCCTTTACAAGGAACCCCCTATTCATCCCCTTATAAGGAACCCCACAATGTTTGCAGGTGAAAAAGCAAAACAAGGACTTTCGGACCCAGCGGACAAAGGCGAAGCGGCAGTCCGGGAATGCCAGGGAAGGTTTATGTCCAGTAAAGGGCGGCGTGTGACATCGGATCTTCAGAAGCAACAATGCCAGAGTCCTAAACGAGATTCCGTTCTCAAGAACGCTTGGGGAGCGGATCCCCAAATAGCTGAGTTAGTCGAGCGACTTGCCTGCAGGAACTCGCGGCCCAGGACCTGGACTAGCCAGTGGCGGAAGTGAAAGTGTGCCTCCATAACCGGTCTGGCTTACCTCCTCTCCAGCCTCTTCAGGAGGCTGCGCCGCGAGAAGCCGTTCCTCGAGAGTCTCCCACTACGCTCATGGCGGCTTCGGCGCCGCGACTGCTGCCACCAGGCACAGTCGCCTAATGTTTGCTCCGATTTCGTGCCGTGAACAAAGCAACTGATATGCAAACCTGTGTAGCCAGTGTAACCCTTCCAGGATGCGGACGCAGTCAGTTTCGCACACCCATCTTCGCAAAGGGTATAGATCGAAAGCGCATTCAAGTGCGTTCCTTCTCTGTCTCTCTCGCTCTCTGTGGTGATTGTAAGCATAGTTCAGGAGATTGAAGAAGTGCAAACCTCTGGCGGAAGTTCTGAAGCAACTTACTATAGGGGCCTGAATAATTACCTATACGATTTTGGGGGTTCCTTATCTTAACCATATAGTGTGATCGGCCCCAAACCCCTATTTAATTATTAAGGCCGATTAAGGCCCCTGCATTACTCTTCTTCCGACCTTGCCTCTGGCTCCTTACTTGGAGGATCATGGGACTTAGTAACTCGGGTTATAATATGGGTAACTATACTTATAACCCCAATTCAGCTACTTATAACTGGACCTTACTTACTAAGTCCTATGATCCTCCAAGTAAGCGCCAAAAGGCACGAAGTGCCGGTACGAGCCGACTTCGCATCTGCCTCAGCCGGGCAGCTCCGATGACTGTCACCATCACCATTACTTAAAGGATCATGAGACGTAGTAACTAGGGTTATAATTAAGGTAACTATACTTATTACCCCAATTAAGGTCATCGTCACCATTAACCATGTTCACTGTCAATATATTGCCATCACTATTATTGTTGCTGTTGAGTCGACTTGTTTGTTCTTGTTCTTTGCTACTGTTGTCATCGTCATCATCATCACTACTTATTCTTGTTGTTATCATTAATTAGTCCCCCTCCTCCTCCTACTCCTACTCCTGCTCCTACTACACTACTACTACTCCTCCTGCTACTGCCACCGCCACTGCCACTTCCACTGCTGCTACTGCTACTACTACTACTACTACTACTACTACTACTACTACTACTACTACTACTACTACTACTGCTACTGCTACTGCTACTGCTACTGCTACTACTACTACTACTACTACTACTACTACTACTACTACTACTACTACTACTACTACTACTACTACTGATACTGCTACTTCTGCTGATGCTGCTACTGCTACTGCTACTGCTACTGCTACTGCTACTGCTGCTACTACTACTACTACTACTACTACTACTACTACTACTACTACTACTACTACTAAGAGCGTAGTGCATAATTGACGCTATGCATTTCCTTACTTCACATGCCCAAAACTCGAGTTTTAAGCACATGTCACTAATTCTCTGGGGGGCGTTGAATTCTGAAAACCTTGACTTAGGAATTCTATCTTTGGGATTTGGGTTTCAGCCTGAGAGCGGGGAACTTGAACATCATCAACATCATTCCTATGAGCCTTGCTTTTCCTATGAGGGCCTTGCTTTTCCTATGAGGTCCTTGCTTTTCCTATGAGGGCCTTGCTGTTCCTATGAGGGCCTTGGAATAAATTTTCAGTACTTATTTTTGGCTTGGCTTGGCTTGGGGGGGTGGGGGTTGGGGGGTTCGGGGTTGGGGGGCTGGGGGGGGTGGGGGGTTGGGGGGGTTGGGGGGGGTGGGCGGGGAACTGAGGGCCTTGGAATAAATTTTCAGTACTTATTTTTGGCTTGGCTTGGCTTGGCTTGGGGGGGGGGGGGGTGGTACGACAAAAAGTCAGATGAAGCTGTTGGCATGCTCCCCAGTAAAGCTTCCTGTTCTTGCATAAAAAAGTAACTGCTGACAACACACATGATCCGACACTGCTGAGTCAACTGCCGACAACTATCCTGATCCAAAATTCAACGCACGCCTGACTGAGACAAGCCATGTCCTGCGTATATCGGAAAACACAGTGTTTTATGCGGGCGACGTGCAATACAACGCAGCGTCAAGTATGCACTACGCGCGTACTACTATACTACTACTACTACTACTACTACTACTACTACTACTACTACTACTACTACTACTACTACTACTACTACTACTACTACTACTACTACTACTACTACTACTACTACTACTACTACTACTACTACTACTACTACTACTACTACTACTACTACTACTACTACTACTACTACTACTACTACTACTAACTTACTACTACTACTATTACTACTACTACTACTACTACTACTACTACTACTACTACTACTACTACTACTACTACTACTACTACTACTACTACTACTACTACTACTACTACTACTACTTCTATTATTATTACTATTACTACTACTACTACCACCACCACCATTGTTGTTGTTGTTGTTGTTGTGATTAGGCTACGTCTCGCCCAGGTCAACGCAGTATCCTTTCTTGCCTGCGGTTATACAGGGTTTCAATGACCTCGACTGCCCAGCTCTCAGAGTCTGCACGCTCGGGGATTTTGCGATCAATGCTCCACCTTGCTTGGAGGATCACGGGACTTATGCTATAGTAAGTAAGGTTATACGGTTATAAGTAGCTGAATTGGGGTTATCAGTATAGTTACCCTAATTGAAACCCGAGTTACTAAGTCCCATGATCCTTTATGTGCTGAATCCAACACATAGCGCGGACACCTGCAGGCACGTACAACTTGGACGTGCGGCCTCATGCGCAACCCTCGCGAATAGCCCCGGCGAAGGAGATTACTGCGGAACAGGCCAGGGAGCATTTTTTCTACTTGGAGGATCATGGGACTTGGTAAGTAAGGTTATAAGTACCTTAATTGGGGTTGTCAGTGTAGTTACCCTTATTAAAGCCCGTGTTACTAAGTCCCCGGATCGTTTTTCTAGGACCCCCAAGAGGGACTGAGCATTTCTCCTCCCTCGCGGCAGGCGTGGCCTCGGGGGACACTCGTGAACTACTTCAGTCAACAGCGGGAGCAGCAGGCCTTTCTATGGACGAAGAAGCTTACTTAAAGGATCATGGGACTTAGTAACTAGGGTTATAATTAGGGTAACTATACTTATAACCCCAATTAAGGTACTTATAACCTTGCTTAATAAGTCCCATGATCCTCCAAGTAGAGAAGCAAAGTGGCTCTCTGCCCCCGGAGGGAGCCGTGCAGTCCTTGCCTGCTGTTGTGAAATCCTTTAACGAGATGGCCGCGGCCTCAACAGAGCCTGTAAGCCGCTCTGCATCCTTCTGAGGGGCCTTAACAATTAGAGTAGGGCTTTGGGGCCCATCATACTATACTTCGAATAAGGAACCCCCCAAAGTAGTATGCGCCTGTTTGAGGATTCCACCTACAACCTGGACATCCGCGACCACGCCGACTGCGATCGGATCCGCGTGCGTGTCATCCCGCTCATGCCTCAGCCTGTAGCGCCGCAGAAGGCGCTGCTCAGAGAAGGCTCCGGAAAGGATAGAAGTGACGGTTTGCACAGAGGGCTCGATGTAGCTCTGGAGGGTCAGTAAAGTAGACGGGGTGATTCAAGCCTTCCAGTGAGCAACGGCGACCCCAAGCTTCAAAAATTTCCTGAACTCCCAAAACCCTATTCGATCCTATTCGGCTCAGGAAGGAGGCAGGCGAGGCGGCTGATCCCGGACTATGTTCGGCCATGATGAGGATCGGATCTGCTCTGCACGGGCTAGCGGTCGAATCGCTGTGGAATGCCTGGAAGACCGCAGTGATGAGGAGGAGTTGTTCTGTAAGTCACCTGCAGGCCGGGGTTTGAGAAGCGCAACACGAAGCCGCTGAACGGCCAGGAGGCCGGGAAAGCTCAGGGCTCGTAGCAGCGACGTAGCAGCTTCCTTTGCAGCTGCACGCGCACAGCTTTCCTGGATATCAGGCTCTTTCACATTCACACATTCAAGATTCAGTCAATAGCCCAGGGCCTAGGGCCTAGTCACCCCATACATGCAGCTACGTGCAGAACAACTGGCCCAAGACCGGGTCGGGCATTCGTAGCCGTCCCAACGTGATGTGCTCTGTATGTGACTTCTGCTACGGCGTCCTGCGCAATGCGTTGTGGGATGATGCTGCAGAGGCGAAAGCTGGAAGATTTGCCGCAGACTTGTCCCGACACGCGGAGGAGGAGCGCTTTTCGTCTGGTCTGGTTGGACCATACCTTGCATGGCGCTACTCTTACCTGCTGGTGGGCTTGGTCTTCGGACTGCTGCATGCAGCACTGTCATCGCCCTGGCTCAGTGACGCAGATTACAGCCTTTTCCTGCAACATCAAGTCGCGTCGACGATTCCTCGTGCCCGCTTCGTACCACTAGTTCGTACTCTTCAGGTTATTGATGTTGCCATCTGGTGTTTAACAATTCTGGCCTGCGTTGGTACGTTGCTGGCCGTGTGCGTCGCAAGTCCCAGCAGAGCAACAGGCAGCCTAAGACTGGGCAGGCGCATAGTTTGGGCTACGTGGCTGCTCTCCTTCTTCCCTCCGTTCATGTTGTTTCTCATATTTCCTGTTCGTTCCATGGTCGACTGGAGGGCGCTCACAGCGGATGTTTGTGTGAGTTCTATCTCGGCAAGTGGCAACATGGCTGGATCCCAGCTTGTGGACAACCTGCAGGTGCTGCAGGAGGCGAGTTGGCTACTCCCAGGGCTTGTAGGGACTCAACATTTTATCTTGCCTGCAACCTTCCGGTATAGGTTTTCTTCAGCCCTTTTCTAAGTATGAGTTGGCATCGCAACAGGTTGGAGCTCTTGATGCCTCAATGCAGGGCGTCGCAAGCGATCCGTTCCAATGGTGTCTCGCCAACGGAGACAACTGGCATGCAGTTTTCTTCAATGAGTCCGTGCCCTGCGTGTGGTCCGTGGAGGATCGCTGTCGCCAGATGAGCTGTGAGAGGCTCACATCTGGAACTGCAGCGGAAAGGCAATGTATTCAGAACTGCGTGAACTTCACTCTTGCCACGAACGGTCAGCAGGCTCGAACAACACTGACACGGCTTATGCAGGAGTGTGACGCTCAGGTTGCAAGGCGTTCCTATGCACCGCAGGCTCTGCAACAGCAGATGCGTGCCTCCTCATTGTCAGGGGAGGTCTCTCAAGCTGACCTCGTCAATGCGGTCTCGACGCTGCAAAGATTCTCCATCATGCAGCTTTCCGAGAGCACGACTTTCGCCAGCACGCAGGCCGAGTATGCCGTCGGCACCTTGTACTGAAGCGCAGCGGATCCAGTTGTCCCACTTGGTGTGTGTTGATTTCCCTGCGTCCTCCCAGTCTATCGTAAGGTTCTTGGAGGATCATGTGAACTAGTAAGTACGGTTACAAGTACCTCACTTGGGGTCATTACGTAGATTAAGATGTTATAAGTATACTTACCCTAACTTCATAACCCTTGTTACCAAGTACTAGGTCCCATGATCTTTCAAGTAGCAGGCTTCAAGTGAGAAGTTGAACCGAGGCATGCTCCTGGCAGTCATGGTTGGACAGAACATGGTATCTGCTGCACTGGGACTGGCGAATGGCCTTGCGGAATCTCTGATCAACTTGAAGGCCATGTTTCCTGGAACCCAGGCAGGGGGCTGGTTGCTGATCCTCACAACCTTCGAAGTCCTGCCGATCCTTGGCGTTCTTCTGGTTGGCTTTTATTAACTTTTTGGGGTTCTACATTTTATATGAACTATGATGGGGAGGCTAAAAGTTTAACTTTTCGGAGGGGTTAGCCAAGGATCTACATGGTAATTTTCGCCCTCTTTCAACAGATCTTTGGTGACCCAACACTCTCGGTGGGGGTCGTGGCGGCTACACTGTATCTTACAGTCGGCATTCACACTGGATATCGTATCACAGGCACAAAGAAGGGAGTGGCTGGCAGATGGCATGTCTATCGCCACATTTGGGTGGAGTATGGCTTGCGCTTCGTTTTTGGCCTGTGCACCTTGGCTGCCTGCATCACGTGGGCTTTTCAGAAAAATTTGGACGAGTCCTTGATCACCTACATACACCAGGACTTGCTGACACCCCGTACGATTGCTGAGATCATCGCGTCGTTCTTTGCCAAAAAGGCTTTGACGGCAGTGGCCGGTACAGATGCCATGGTGTCCGCATTCGTGCAAAACGAGACATGGCGGTTCGAGATGGAGGCACTCGAATCGAAGTCTGACTCGAAGTCTCATGCGAGAGCAGTCGCAGATCTTGTTCGACTCGGACATTTGTACAAGCTCTCTCCTACCGAAGGACTGGATGCAGAGTAATGAGGTTTAGGCAAGTCCCGAATTCAGAGTCCCAAACCAAGAACTGCTCACCTTCCTCAGAGCGCAGGGCAGCTCGAAGAGAGGCTTCAGCTTGCTGTAGTCTGCTGCCCACACAAGAAGTGGGGCATTGCGAGCATAGTGGCCCCCAAAATTGGCATGCGCAACTTGCGTGCCATGTGTCACTTCTACGGCATCTACGGTTCACCATGCCAGGGTGGAGAAGGAGACTTCAGCATGTTCGCAAGATCTGGCAAACGAGTCCACTGAAGACCTAAGCAGCTAGCGTCCGGATGCCGCTTCCGTCCCTTCTGATGTTGTGGCTGCATGCACAGCATGACCTTGCCTGTGTCAGGTTGGAAGGCTTCCGGAAGAGGTCCTCGAGGTTTGCGCATCAGCAGTAGTTTTGCGATTCGGCAGCCAGTAAGGAACCCTTGGCGAAGCTGACCCCTCTCATACCCTGACAGCAACCCCTAGAGTACCCTTCTAGTCACCCCCATAGTCTATAGTACCATAGACCACCCTCCTGGAAACCTATGCCGGAAATGGGCCGAAGCATAGCCTGGCAGACGGATGCGACGGTAGCCGAGCCCGAGGCTGTCGAGGCACGGCCATGGCCCTTTGCAGAATCATACTACAAACTACTAACTAGGAGAATAGAGTACAAGAGTTAAAATAATAAAGTGGAGTACAATAATTAGGGTAGAACAGAGCAGCGTATGAGAATAAATTGTATAGCTGCTATGAGCAGTTCAGACAAAATAGTCAATACTGCATGACATGCTGCAGTAGTGTAGTATAGCACAAGTAATATACTTCAATGTCATGGAAGGTAAGGTAACATACTCTATGATGGTACAAGAACAAGCACATACTGTGATAGAATACATTTCTCGCATGATAATATGCCAGATTATCTGATGCTAGACGATATTATGCTGTAGGTTTATCGCACAAGACTACTATAGGGTAGATCAGATTCAGATGATGTTACATTGTACGACATACTGTATTAATTCCATTTTATTATACTCTGTTACACTATGTTTACTTATTATTGTAACAGATCATGTTATCAAACGATTGTTTAGTACACAATGCCGTACTATACCATGCTTTACCATGTTGTATCATGATATGTTATATGTGCAATTTCGCAGTTTTTATTTTACATACTTAGTCTTATAGCAGTTTATAATATATTGTAATTGTAGTGCTAAGTTCCAACACGTTGCTACTGCTGTTGCCGTTTCAACCTTCCTTTCTGCCTCGGAACTCATATCGGGAGCTCTGCTGCTCCACTGCACGGTACATGCATAATTTAGCCTGCCTTGCATGCGCAGGCGGCTTTTCTAGATCATGAATAGGCAATTCACGTGCAATTCGCAACCGTTACAGGTTTTGAAATCCCCCAACCCTGTAGCAGAATCGAACTCTGAGTCGTGGTCAGGTGCTTGGCAGACATGCTCGTATCGGGCAAGGTTCGGATCAAGTCGGAATTCCTCGGGTGAGTTGTCAGTGTCCGGAGCAGGTTTCTGGTGCCACATTCCAGAGCATGATCTCTTCGTCCGAGCCCTGGTTGTGGTATATTTGCAGTGTTCAGTCGGGCGGGCGTACTAATATTCATTCACTGATGATTTGCAGAATGCAGCTGCGTAGTCAGTAGTCTTTGCATCGGGCCTGAGCTAGGCTCCAGTTGTGGCCGTCCGCGGGGGCATCGCGGAGCTTGACATTAGTTGGGCTCCCGATTGCAGAGCTCACCAGTCTCGGTTCTTCTCATGCCGGTCGACTGGAGCGTTTTTTGTCATATTGTTTTCTGTTCATCTTTCTAATGAATTTTGTCGTACCGTTATATAATGTTATGTTTATAGTAACTTATAGTATGTTTTCTTACAGTAATTATTATAATACACTATGTTGAATAATGTGGCATACTGTGTTATGCTCTCCCTCTCGAGGTGGAAGCATGACTGAGCTCAAGCTCGAGGCCGACCATCGGCATCTTCAGGAAGACTTGGTACGGTTGATGATGTAAACCCTGCACTAGCATAACAAGGACTATACCATAATTTCCATAATTCCCATAGTCAAGGGTTATTACCTTAATGACCTTAGATTATTGGACTTGTGGTATAGTCCTTGTTATGGCTAATGCAGGATTTGATGCTTGAAAAACGAAACTCTGCCAGCTCCTCGCGTGAAGGCTTACAACAAGCATTGAGCATTGTAATGAAGTCTGCACCCCAACAACAAAAACCCCAAACCCTAAACCCTGACCCTGAACCCAAACCCTATATCCTTATAGAACTCCTTTAGATCCCTTTAAAGGGACCCTTAAAGGAACCCTGAAATCAAAAACCCGAAATCCTAAACCAAGATTCGGGGAATGTGATTGGTTCAGGCCCTGCGAGCACCCAAGGAAGAGAGGCCAGGCTCGCTGCTTTCTTTGCAGATCCTGGCTTGATGCTTATGTCTCATTGTATATAGTAGGTATTTATAGTACATATTCTAGAGTATATATTGTGCACTGCCCGTATATGTTATTTGGTATATAATCGACGAGAAAGTCTGATATGGTTGCTAGGAGTCACCGTGTAGCGGAATCCGAGAACAGGAGCAGAGACGGGCTGCATGGGTCCTGTGCTTTCTGCACAACAAATGATGGACCATGATGGACCCAAAAAGGACATGCGCATCAGCATTCTATAGGGATATCCCTAAATTACTGGGCTTCATTATGAGATTCTAGTTTGGCGCCCTGGTCAAGGCTGGCCTGGCCCAAGGGTACCGAAGTGATGTATTACAGCCCGGGTCTCAGCCCACACTCAAGAGTCATGGCAGGCATTCTGCATGTCGCAAGTGCTGCTGGCAGTGGTGTACAAGAAGTTCTTATCACGCCCAGGTGGCTCTCTGGGCAAGTGGATCATTGCGCATGTGGCCAGATCCCTAGCACTGCAGTGCTACGGGTCGTCTCGTTCTCGGTATTGCCATCAGCTGCAGCGAGAGCCGATGTTACGTGCGATCTAGGATGATCCAAGCAAAGACCCTCTACGCAGGGTCGTGTTTGTAAAACCTTTGCCAAGTAAGGGCCCCCCCATGTGATTCTCCAGACTTTCAGAGCTTTGAGTCCTTTGGGAGGCCCTCAACCCTAAACCCCTAACCTCTAAACCCCTAAACCCCTAAAACCCTAAACCCTAAAATCCTAAACCCAGGAGGGCTACAACCGCGGCAGTAGCACCTACAACCTGGACGTGCGCCAAGAGGCAGACCCGGAGAAGGCTCGAGAGCTCGCTCCTCCCCAGAGTCGGAGATTCAGATCCATAGTGTATTATTAAAAAAAATATATATATATATATATATATATATATATATATATATATATATATTTAGGGTTTCGGATCGAGCGTTGCCGTAGTCAGCGCATTGCCGTGGCCCCAGTGTCAGATCGTCTTGCCGCCATAGTGCTGCAACGACATCCGCCATCACCCAGGTGGCACAGGCACGAACGAAAGCAGCGAGCAAAAGCTCGCAAGCGGATCGCCAAGGCCCGAGTCTCTGGCACCCACCCTTCCAGGCGGGACCTCATCTACCTGTGTGGTCATCACTCCAACCCGGCCTACAGAGAGTACTCTATGGGCCGCGGAAAGCCGACTGTGGGCCAGCGGAACGCATGGCAGGCTCAGCACGGAGATCATGGACGATCACACGATGGTTATGGCTCGCATCAACAGGAGTCGTGGCACGACTGGCAGCCGGGTTGGGACAACCGCCCCCAGCCACGCAAGCCCAAGCCCGAGGCAGTTGCCTTCCCTACCTTGGAAATGATGGACCCCCGGACCTCGACAAGGGCACCACCAGCTGGACGACATGGCCAAGGTCCACGGCACGAGGAGCATGCCCCGGACAGGCAGGACTTTGCGAAGGACGCACAAAGGCTCGTAAATGCCATGCGGAGGGCGGAGACCCGTATGCGCAAGGCAGCAGAGGACAAGGAAGCCCTGGAGCAAAAGTGGCGTACCTTTCAGTCCGAGATGAAGAAGACGTTCATGAAAGAAAGAACTCGGTATATGGACCTCACCAAGAAAAACCAGGAGGAGGCCGAGGAGCAGGCGGTGATCCGAGAGGAGGCCTTGACGGAGCTCCAGGAGGCCCTCGCGACCGGGATCTTCAAGAAGGAGGAGGACAAGCCGACGGCCGCGGATGCAGAGGCGGAGGCAGAGGGGGACAAGCTCCTTGGTGGCCCGATCGACCCGGAGGCTGGCCTGTCGGAGATGCTCACTGGTGCCCTTGCCGGTGGCACACGACTCGGACAATCGGCACGCCGCGGCATGCTCGAGCTCATCGCGGCCCATCGTGCTGGTCAGACTGTGGCCACTCCGCCAAAGAGACGTCGCCATCGGATGCCAGAGGAAACACCACCAAGACGAGCCGGTGGAGAACGAGCCAAGGAGGAACAGGGCGACACCTACATGGGAGACAACGACCCGAGGGCACCCTATATGACATCACCGTCCGCGGCGGTACGGGCACCTTCACCGACGGAACCAACGCCGCGAACCAGATCCAAGTCCAGAGCATATGTCAAGAACCTCGGCAAGGAGCCTGTGGTCCCCCCTACCGGATCGGTGAGTCTGGGAGACAAGCTCGAAGCTGCTCGCAGAGAAGAGTTGAACGATCGACGTCGAGCAGGCCGCCGCTACAACAAGGGTGTTTTCTCCACCTACTTCCGCGACCCGATCACGAGAACGGCGGTGCTGCACCTCTTGGACATGGAGGAATCAGCGCAGGCTGCAGTGTATGTTGGGGGATCCATTAACCCCCTCCGACATGGCGAACAGTTTGCAGCCTGTCAAAGAAGTTTGATACAAGTACTCACAAACAATGATGTGGTTGGTTGGCAAGGAGACATCTCTGAGCGTTTCGATGATCCGTCGGAATGGCGCCCCGACACGGACCACCCGACCAACCTCAACGGCCAGTTCATAGAGTTCCAGTCGGCCCAGCACAAATAAATGCACAGACTGGATCGGCGCAATTGGCGCCCCCCAGTGGAGATAGCGAGCGAGGTCTTCGACATGCCCCCGGAGAACTTCTGGCTGAGGGCCCCAACCGAACGACCAGAACGACTGCACCTCAAAGGCCAGCGAGTTCACTCCATAATTGCGGTAGCCGAACATGCCCACCACGTCCGCGAGCAGATGAGGATAGTGATCCTGGACTTGCGCCCAATTGGCCTTTGGATACAGTTGGCAGCTGCAGAGGACGGGCTGTTTGAGCCGGGTATCTACTTGGAGGGCCTACAGGTCGAAGTTGTGGAGGGCTACTCACTGGTTGTGCATGGGGGTGTCAAGCAGAGAAACCGGCGTATTCTGAGCGTCGAGGATGGCGAGGTCCTCATGGTCACCCTTGAGGAGACGGGACATCTGACCCTGGAGGTCCTCACTCGTCGGATATTTCGGAAAACGGGGAGCCTCCTACAGGACCAGGCCCCTTTGGACCCCCCCCACCGCAGCCAGTGAATCGAAGAAGCAGATCACCAAGGAGACCAGCACGGCGAAATGGTGAAGATACAGGCCCGCAGCCCCTAGCTCTGAGCGAACATCTCCCTCCGGTCGTCTACGAGATCGATGGAGAATGCAGTTTGATGTGGGAAAGTTGCCACTGAAGCCGGCAACAGAAAAGGCCAGAAGCAACCTAGTCCACTGGAGCCAAGTTCTTGCAGCCAGAGGACCCGACCAGCGATTGGAAGCACACCTCTACACCGACGGCTCCTACTATGAAAGCCAAGGCCGTAGCGGTTTTGGCGTGGCAATCCTACTGCAGTGCGCGGGCCTCCTTGCACTCTTCGGTGTATTTGGTGGCACAGTGCAGTGTGATGCAAGTGATGTGTGGGCATTTGCAGCACCTCAGGCCTTAAAAGTTGAGCAGATTGCCATTGCGGCGGCCCTACTCTGGATCGGACAGAGCCGTGCTAGCCTTCCGTTGGATGCAGCCCTCATTGCTTATGACTGTCAAGTTGCTGGCATGGGAGCCACTGGCCAGTGGCATCACTATGGAGACTTTGGGGCCAAGGTCAGAGCACTAGAGGCTACGGTCGACGAGTTGATGTGCAGCCAGTTGGAGTTTCGACACACGAAGGCCCATGTTGGCCAGGAGTGGAACGAGCTGGCTGACACAGTTGCCAAGGCTTGTGCTGAGCCCAATCACGGGGTGCCAACGGTTCCGGACGATGTGTGCCGGGCATTTATGGACCTGGATCTCAGTTGGGCAATGAGTGTGTTGCGGGCCCGACAGCTCGGAGACCTGAACATCAGGGCAAATGGCTGGTGGTACCGGAAGCAGTGCCGAAGCCCAGCCCACTCAAGGCGGCGGATCTGATCCCAGTGGTGGAGCACAATCAACGAGGGTGCCGGAAAGCAGCCCGCCAACTACAGCTGAAGTGCCTCTCGGTTAATATACAGGGCCTACGAGGAAAACACTGCTACTTGGACGAGCAGTGGCACCAAGGATGCTATCAGATGGTTTTCCTCCAGGAGACGAAAGACTCAGGGGGAAGCACTACTGGAGATTGGCCACTCAGTCCAATGGACACTGGGGCACCGCGGTATGGGTCCATAAGCAGCTCGGCTGTATGACAGTCGAGAACCAGCCTGTCCAGGTCGCCCTCACGGATATGCGTATCGTGCACCAGGACCCCAGACTGCTCATGGTTGAAATCACCAAGGGTGAGCTAGTGATTGTGGCCTTTGCTGCGCATGTACCTCATGCAGCCAAAAAGGTGGAGCGTTCCGAATTCCTCACGGTCCTCGAGGAACGGCTGCGGCATGCAAGTCGCGCGGCTATTGTCGTTGGTGGAGTAGACGTCAACGGCCGCCCACCATTGGAGTTTGAGAACGTAACCGGCGGCTTGGCCTTCGGCGACAGTGACCACGCTGGCCGACAGTTCGTCAACGTTGCGGCCAAGGCTGGCCTCTGGCTGCCTTCAACGTTTGAAGGCATCCACGATGGGGAGTGCGCTACCTTTCAACATGCGAACGGAAATCGTCATCGGATCGACTTCATGACCCTGGGTGGTGATGCTTACGTTACGAGCGTACAGAGCTGGGTTGAAGATGACTTGGACCTCGCGGCGCAACGAGATGACCATTGGGCCGTGGCGGTGCAGATCACTGGGTACACCTCTCGGCAACCTACACAGAGTAGGCTGGCCAAGCCCAAGTATGACCGCCACAAAATGATGAGTGTGGAAGGCCGTGCTATCCTGGAGAAAGCCTGGCGAGACTATGTGCCCCCGCCGTGGTGGGAACATGTAGATGTACATTGTCGACACATGCAGACGTACGTCACGGACACCCTCGTCAAGCATTTTACTGCTGGACCAGGGCAACAACGAGCAACCTACATCACGGATGTGGTGTGGGCTTGGAGGGCGGCCAAGCTCCAGTTCAAGAAGAAGGTACAGCATCGGCGACGTCTATGGCATCAGGCTATGCGAGCGGCGTTCCATCAATGGAAGGATGGCGGTGACCCCGAGGTCGAGGCTCTGATCAGTAAGGAAGGATTGCTGTATCAATTGGCCTCCGGGGCGATCGGTGTTGTCACCCAGCGCATCAAGAAGGCCATGAATGTGAGCAAGAACGAGTATCTCCAGAAACTCGTCACTAACGGGCCCCAATCAGCGTGCCAACTGCTGCGACGAGCCCGTGGTATTGGTATTGGGGGTAAACGTGGACGACAAGGTCGCAAGCCCCTACCAGCATTGAGTGATGGTGCCGGCGGGGTGGCCAGCACTCAAGAGCAACACGATGCGATTTGGCTGAACCACTTTGCCGATCAGGAGCATGGCCAATGTATGAGTGTGGAGGACTTCCTGAAAGAGCAGGATGGCCCGCGAGATGCAGGCACAGTCATGCAATGGAAGGTCACGGATCTGCCGACGTTGCAGGAGGTGGAAGGTGTCCTGCGTTCGGTGCCGGTGGGAAAAGCATACGGACTTGATCTTATACCGGGCGAAGCAGTCGCGGCCGCCCCACCGGCTGCAGCGGCCGCTGATGACCAAGGCGGCGGCAGGGTTGCAACAACCTCTGCAGTGGCGAGGAGGAGCGATACACTCTGCCTGGAAGGGCAGCGGAGAGATTGCGGAGACATCCAGCCATCGCTCGTTGTTTATCAGCAGCGTCCTCGGCAAGGCGTTCCACCGCCTCCTCCGGAACAAAACTGGAACCTTCCTCCAGGCGGAATTGCACGAAATGCACTTGGGCAGTAAAAGACATTGCCTTATTTCTTTCGCTACGCTCTACATCATGAGCCACATGCGATGGTGCAAGAGCCGTGCCCAATCGGCTGGTGTGCTATTTTTGGACACAGCCGCCGCTTATTATTCCATCCTCCGAGAGGCGGCCATGGGCGACATCAGATATGACGAAACGATTGCCCGGCTGATGAGGAGGTTCAACATGGATGCAGAGGACATGAGTGGTCTCTGGAAGGTCATCCGGAATGGAGGAGTTTTAGGTGAGGCTGGAGCCCCGCATCCAGTCAGAGCAATGATACAAGATGTTCACCACCGGACCTGGTGTGTAACGAAGCATACCAATGGGCAACGTCTCGCGGCAACATATGCTGGAAGCCGTCCGGGGGAATCCCTGGCGGACGCCATCTTCGCATATATATATATATATATATATATATATTCCCGAGTCGTTGGGTGAAGTGGCCCACGGTGAGGGATTACTCAGCGAGATCGCCTACGACCCCGAAAGTGGTGTGTTTGGTAAACCAAGTGCGGGCGAGGAGGTTGTCCTAAGGGACACAACTGGGCCGACGACACGGCGGTGCCATTCGCGGACAGTGACCCATTGCGGATGTTGGCCAAGGCTAGCCGCCTGGCTTCGGTCACAATCTCGGTCTGCCAGTCACATGGTCTACAGCCCAACCTACGACGTGGCAAGACGATGGTCGTGATTTCGATGATGGGCAAAGGAGCCTCCCGGGCGAAGAGAACTCACTTTGGACATGGGCGCCCCACCTTGATGCTCCACGACCTGCAAATGGAGGTGGGCATCACCCCCCAGTATGTCCACTTAGGTGGAGTGGTTGATACGAGGTGCACAATGAAGCCGGAGATGCGACGAAGGTTGGCAATGGCGGGGGCAGCCTATGAGGCTGCCCAGAACCTTCTCTACAACAACCGGCGACTGCCATTGGAGACCAGAGCCCAGCTTTTCCACACGACCATCCTCTCGACCTTCTACAACCTGGCGATTTGGGTCCCGAGTGGACCAGTATGGGAGCAAATGGCCAGTGGATACACAAGGATCTTGAGGAGATTGCTGGGGCCTACGGTGGGATGGCAAAGAGTGTACCGTGTCCCGGGCCCTTTTGTACACCTGGCCGCGAACCAATGGCGACTAGAGCATGAGGCGACCAAAAGCCGCATGAGTCTCTTAGTGGCCATGGCTCGGAATGGTCCTGAAACGCTGTGGGCTATTTTACAACAGGAGCAGTCATGGCTGCAAGTGGTCTGTGAGGACCTTCGCCAGCTGGCGATCGAGTACCCGGAGCTCCCCCAGGCTTGTGAAGCAGACTGGGCCAGGTGGGTCGGATACCTTCGTGACGAGCCGGGGCCCTTCAAGCTCAAAGTCAAGCGGATGCTACAGAAGCGACACGAGCAGCAGTGCCGGCATGAGGCGTGCCAGGTGGGCCTGTGGGGCCTCTACCGAAAGGCGTCCAGCAAGATTCGTGGATGGGCTACCACAACCACATGGAGCTGCCGGCAATGCGTGCGGCAGTTCAAGTCCAAAGGTGGGCTCGGGGCCCACATGTTTAAGACTCACAACCGAGCTGCCACATTTCGCAGCTGTGTGGTTGGAACTACCTGCAGAGCATGCGGGCTCCAGCTGTGGTCATCGGCGAGACTAGCCACGCACCTGCGCGATACTCCCAAGTGCGTCAGCAGGCTGAGGGCGGCTGGGCTCACTGCGGAAAGTTTGCTGCCAGGGTTGGGAAGCAGGGCAGCGCGTCAAGCGTATGTCGAGGAGTACAAGCTGGCGCCCGCGAAGCAGACGCAGAGGCCCCTGACCGCGTTGGAAGGGCCACAGTGGTCGGAGACACAGCTCGAGGCCTACCGGCAGCTATGTGATGCTCTGCACCAACAGCCCCAATGGGACAGCGAACAGGAGATTATGGAGGCGATCCTGCGAAGCCTACAGTCCAGTCCCTTGTACTCCGAGGAGGAGCAGGAGATTGTGGCCTACATCGGCGGTGAGTTTGACGAGCTCTACAGGGCGGACATCCACGAACCATGGACTCTGGAAGTCTTCGAGCGGCTACGTGGAGTGATCAAGAACGCCGGTGCATGGCTGCACCCCTACACTGAGGAGGATAGCGAAAGCACTGGCAATGACCAGTCGCTCTCCCAGTTTCTGAAGGGCGAAGCCCCAAACTGGGAAGCCTTAATTACTCAAGTCGAGTCGTCAGCAGTGCGGGACCCTGACATGCCAGCTATACAAACTGGATGACTCCTGGGAAGCAGCAGGGGAGCTGTCCAGTGGCGACCATGTAACCGCTGCCGCGTTGCACGACCCGCTTTGCTTTGTCCCCAGAACAGTTGTGTCGCTTTGGGAGCAGGCCTGTACAGGCAAGGTTGATGCGATCCTCGCGACGAATGCGTTCTGGAAGAGCCCATATGGCCCGCTGTTCAGGGCGCTGAAGGCTGATGTGCAATCTTAATTAGTGCCGCGTACACCACTGAAAGCCTCGAAATGGAAAAATATAAATATATATATATATATATATATATATATATGGGAGTTTCCGAAAATAGGGGACCTTAATATACTACTAGTACTCTAAATACCTTACAAGGCCCCAACATAAGGTACCTTCATTTTCGGAAACGCCCATATTATACCACATAGATATTTTTTGTATTTTTGTTGTTATTGTGATATGTACTTTGCTATTATATGTTGAATAATTACATATGTTTTTGTATACTGATATACCCTAGAGTGCTAGTAGTAGTTATATGTTAATATTCATACTGCATGTTACTATATACAAGTAATATCGTGTGTTATATACGCAGGTAAGCATACACCAAGCTGCACCTTATCGCATAGCACTACAGGCTCCATGCGCACAGCCTCCATAGCATCAAGCACACACCCCCGGAACCTCCCGCAACCCATGCATCTACGCGGACTCGAACAGCACTACGTCCCATCGTTCAAAAATAACCATGCCAAGCGGTCCCATCGTCACATTGGCATCTGCTCTCCGACAGTGTTAAGATGAGCCGCCCATCTCGCAGCCCAGGGTCCGAAAGAATCAAGTCCAGCTCGGCCGCAGGTGAGACCTCGCTAGCTGCAGAGGGGTTCCTCCATGCGCAGGCGAGTTGGATAAGACTCATGGTATCAGAATGTAATAGTAAGGCAGTGAGGAGAACAGTATTCGTACAAGTTAGTAGTCATGGATTGGCAGTTAGGTGGAGCCATGTTGCACGTCTCCCTTCCCAGCTGCGAACAGGAAGTCTCCATATCCACCAACAACATGTAGAAGCGGCCCACGGGGATTGCGCGAGAGGCTGCCAAAGCCCCCGATCAACAAAACTTCTACTCCGCGTCGGCGCCCGCCAGTGCAAAAACAGAAGTGGCTCTGCCTCTTGTGGTGATCGGGCCAGTAGGACGGCTCCAAGACTGTAGGCTCCAGACCAGTATTGCCACATCCCTCCTTTGAGTGGTAAGGCCAAGCTCCAGCAAGTTTACTTTGTAAGCTAATGTGAGTCGTGACAGCTCGCTTTGGCAGTAACAATTAGTAACAGTGCTACGATTGTTTACATGTTTGTCTTGGTCCGTCCTTTGCCTTGTCGCTTGATGTGTCTTTCCCTGTGTTGGTCTTTCCCTCTCTGTCTCTCTCTCTCTCTCTCTTCTGCTGGCTCTTTCGCCGAGATGCCCGCTGTTGCTTCCCTTCATTCGAGCCTTGCTTCGTCTCGCACTTTCGTCCCGGCTGGCAGGCTGCTTGAGCTCGGACGCAGCGTGGCTGCGCGTCAGGCGTTCTGCCTGCGGAGTGCTCGCAGGCATGTCAGGGCGCAGCGACTCCAGAGCAAAGAGTCGACGGATGTAGGATTTTTTTGTTGGGGAGGTCTTCGGTCAGATATACAAAGCAAGCTCAATAACTAAGATCTATAAAAGGAAGGGTGTTTGCCACGGAACTGACGATGAAGTCTGGTGATTCTTGTGTAATCTGCCGTGATGATAGAACGACCTTGAACCATCTCGAAAGTCTCTGCGCTGGCAGTTGCGCATGCGCAGCTTTGCACAAGGCATGTCCCAGAGGGATGAAGTCCACAGAAAGGGTCATGGGACTTAGTAACTGTAGGGCTATAACTAGGGCAACTATACTTACAACTACTTAGAACCCCACTTAATTAAGGTACTTCTAACCTTACTTACCAAGTCCCATGATCCTCCAGCAGTTCCATTGAATCTCATAGCTTTGCCCGGCTGGCCTTTCTCCACGACTTTGTTTTCCGGTTTCATCAGAGCCACTCACCAGAAGAAGCACACGTGGACGGAGCCCGGCCCCGCTCGAATTACGATTTACGATGTAGATCCGACTGCATGCCCAGCTTTTGGACGTTTTGCGCCAGCAGTGGCGTCTTTATCTCTCGAGACAAAAGCGAGACATGGACTCCATGTGCTGCGCGGTTTGCATGTTTAGGTTTAATACTGAGCAATGTTGCACATGACATACGTAGTTTCCAAAAGATGGAGCCCACAATCCTACCTGTCGAGTGTCGTTTAGATGTGTGATGCTTTTAGCCACTGTCACGGATGGCCAGCGTCTGCGTGGCATCACGCTGATTGACTGCTGATTGTCAAGCTACTGCATGTCTGCCCTCGGCTGCAAGGAACTGCATGTTGATGCCTGCAAGGCAAGGCCTGTAGAACTAGACTCACATGCGCAGCTGCACTTCTCCCAGGTCAGAGCCATGAGCACTGCTACCGTACCGTAATCTTTCTGGGCGCGTCCCTATCAGCAGATGCAGGTTACAGCTCATAGATCTCATCCCCTGCCTCTCTGCTCTTGTCTTTGCGCCATGTACCACGAGGGGCAGGACCGAGAGCGTCGGAAGGCTCCTTTGCTCTGCACGCCTGATGTGATACTGTAGTATAGCATGAATCATGGTATTTGACATTGAGGTTAGTTTATGTCCCATTAACGTATACTACAGTACATGTCTAGACTATACCATGCTATTGTGGCACTGCTGAGATCTTTCAAGAGGCGCGGGAAGAGAGCACGGAATTGGCCCTGAAAAGCCTGCCACCCAGAGATCTACAGCGACAGCGAGGCAACTAGTAGAACCAGGGGTTATGGCATTATGCTGTAGAGGTTGTTTTGAGATCAGTGTTTGTGTTTGTGATCTGAGCAAGGTCAATACCCTGTACCAGAGGCGTCCTGCCCCTGGATATGATGGAAGAGCTTTGGAAAGGACGGTCGATGGCAAGCATAAAGCATATGTGCAGACTTGGTGGCTGCTGAAGGGCTCGACACATCCAAAACAGACAGTGAGGTGAGTGAAGTTTAGGCATTTGCTCGTGAACCTGACAGTCGCCATGGTAAGGCCGAAGAAGGAGGCCTCCGGCGGGCCCTCGCTCATCGAGTTTAGCACAGAGGTCCCCATCTCAGCGGCGCGGTATGGACGCTGAGACTTGTACCACGAGTACCCTCCAGATAGCAGACAGCGCCAGCACCAGTGACAGAGGCGCGGGATGATCCCAACGAGGGCCTCATTTTTGGCGACATGCCGGAGTCTCGGCTCTCTTCGCATCTCTCTGTCGCTTTGTCTCCCATTCTCTCCTCAAAGTCTGTTTAGTCATAGTTAGGACAACTATACCTATAACCACTTATAACCCCAATTTTGCCAAGTCCCATGATCCTCCCAAGTAGACCCTAGACCCTAAACCCTTACAGTACCCCCTATAGATCCCTCAAAGGGATCCCCAAGCCTTACTAGCTCCCCCAAAACCCTCTAAAATATCCCCAACCACCTAGTTTTTGCTACTTTTTACCCCAAACTCCTCCATGTTTGGTGATGATTCCGCAAGCCGTCGAGGCCGGAGCGATGCACCTGCATGCATTGCGAGCGCTCCGTGGCCCGGGACTCAGAGCGTCAGAGCTCTATTATGTTGTATTATGGTATAGCTTGGTATAGTACATTATTCTGTATAATCGTATAGTTTATTATAGTATATTATATTGTAATTTAGTATAGATGATTATGTTAGATTTTAATCGGTAATCTGCGGTGGTGCGCGGAGGTGACTTTCATCGACTACGAAGCCTCCTGGGTGACCTGGTCTGGCCCTCAAGCTGCTCGAGCTACTCAGGGGCACGGCACGGCTAAGTACCCGGGACCTGGTGCGGTTTAAGGTTTAGGGGGTTAGGGGGTGTGGGGTTGGGGGAGATGGTTTAGGGTTCAGGGTTTGGGGCTTAGGGTAAGGCAAGGAAGGTCGAAACATGGAGGCTGCGCCGGCTGCACAGCTCATCACTTCAGACGTAAGAGCAGAGTACGAATGTGTCCGCACATCGAGAACCTATTCTTGACAGCAGGTCAGATTAAGCTTTACTTCGTCTCCCGTCTCTTTTCCTCGGAGATCTACATCAAGATTTCATGGAGCATGCTCCTTGTAGAGGGCAAGGTGTGTACTTAGCAGATGCATAGGTCGTATGTAGGAACACAGGTGTGCAAGGTGTCACCCATCCACCGAAGCATGGATCGTGCGTGCTAGATAGAGGCAATGGTTATCAGCCATCAGGGTTCAAGCCGGTTGTACCTCTTCGAGGTAGCACCAACATGTCGACGAAGCAGTGCCTGCTCATGTAGCTAATGCTTCCTGCAAGAAGACAGGCACAGAAAGCTCATTTGCAGATATGAATGCCGTGCATGATCGCAAGGGGTCCCGTTCTATTGTCGCTATATGCCGGCGTGTCACGGCAGGATGGTGCGGAAGGTGACACCTGCAAGTGTATGTCAACACTGCAAGTCTTGGGAGTTCTCAAGGGCATATTACCTATGCAAGTTCTGTACGAGAAGAATCGCGAAACCTACTCCGTGGTCCTTGTACAAGTCAACTCCGCATCCTGCTGCATTGTGGAGACGAGGATCATTCCGACATGAGCTCTCCAGTTGCCGCACGGGGGTCTTGCACTGTGCGAGTGGCAGAGAGAGACTTGTGGCCGCAACTTCTCTTCAATCAGTGGCTGAGGCTCCTGGCGATTGTTGTTTGGTTCAGCCTGGGCTGGATGGCCTTCTGGGTTCTCCCACTCCTGTGGCCAGCGTTCAAGGTTGGGCACAGGGTCTGCCAGAGACCGCATCAATACACGTGAGCACACTGAGCACACTGTCTTGATTAAATTGGGCTGTCCGCAGGCATGAACTGAATTGCGTTTCTGCACACATCAGGATGTGGTTCACCACTGTGTTCAGCTCAGCTCAAAGCCAGCACATGTCAAACCTCGGAGCGGGCAGCATGCCTCGCCAGATTGCCGTCAGGTCCACGCTGCCTCAACGTCATTGCACGAAAGTCGCGCATCTCGTTTCCAACCTTTCGGACCGAGGCGAAAGAAGCATGACTCTGTCTGTGCGTGTGTGTGTGTGTGTTGTTCTGGGTTTTGCCCGCAATCCCAGCTTCGGTACGGCTGCATTTGAGTGTCAGGTTTGCAGCTTGAAGGTTGGCAACTGCGCTGTAGTGCTGGCTCGGAAATACGCTGGAGCCTCAACCGGAGAGCCTCTTTTTGGGGCTACAGTACATGCCATGCTCGATTGATTTCGGACTCCTCTGCCTCGAGTCCTCAATGCTTGGGATTGCTGCAGGGCATCGCGCGGTGATCTGAGGTTATAATTTTCGTGGGTCTGGTGTTCACCATCGTCGCCGTCTACCTGATGCGTGGTAGCCTGAGCCTCCACAAGTGAACACGACCTATAGCCGACCTCAAACCAATGGGATTCCGAAACTAAGTGGTACTTTAACTTGGAGTCCTTATACTTGGTCCCGGGGCTATCTCGTATCACCTGGGTGTTTTACGCATCTGCAAGGCGTCTACTTCGGGGAACGCATTATAAACGTTATATAATCTTATCAAGCTCTGTATCTTCACCTTCATATTCTTCGGCGTCCGCAGCACGCTCTCGCATTTGTCAGTGTCAGTGGGCTTGTGCGCGCTCATCTTCGCACGAGTGTGTGCTTGTGTATTGCAGCTTATGTATTAGACATCTGTATACATATGCACTGGTGCGGTCTGTTCCTGTCGGTTTTTGAAGCCCAAAGAGTCTTCTGCTCACATCTGCGTCGCGCAGGACTCGCGCAGGGTCACGCGGGACTCGCGTAGGACTATAATATAGCGACCTACTCACCACCCATTTTCAGGGTTGCTTTTCATGCTTCCGTGGCGGGTTCAGGCATCCTCTCAGTCTTATACTAGTAGCATGCCACTTTCAAATCCCAGCGTCTACTTGGCAAACGCACTGCTTTCTTATCTTGGAATGCTTCCAAATGTAGTATATACCTCAGCGTCCGCAACAAATCCGGCACTTTGGCCTACCTGCTGCGTGCTTCTTGAAACCAGCGTCTACATGGGGTTTAGGTAATTCTGATGTGTAAATTTCCCGCTGATGTGTATTCTCCCTAAACCAGCGTCTGTCGGCATTGATGTGTATTCTCACCAGCTGATGTGAGATAACCCCAGCGCAATAAGGATCCTACTAATTTTTAGTGTACTTTATCAGGGTCCTCAACTTCGGAAACTTCCAAAAGGGACCCCTAAACCCTAAACCCTTTTAGAAGCCTTAAAGATCCCTCAAAGGAGCCCTTGTTATGGTACCCTTTAAAGGAAGCCCAAGGCTCCCCTATTTCCGGAAGCTCCCATATGGACCCCTAAACCCTAAACCCTTTTAGAACCCTTGTAGATCCCATAAAGGAACCCTTATGGTACCCTTTAAAGGAACCCTAAGGGTCCCCGATTTTCGGAAACTCCCAAAGGCTTTAAGCGTAAGTACCTGCCAGCGCAGGTTCCTTTGTCCACGTGAACGGCGCTGCGCCGGAGGCAAATCGTTTCTGTTCGTTGAAGAGTTAATAGCAGTAGTAGTAGTAGTAGTACTACTACTACTACTACTACTACTACTACTACTGCTACTACTGCTACTACTACTACTACTACTACCACTACTAGTACTAGTTAATAATACTAGTAGAACTTGGGCGGAGGCACTTTGCTTTCACGTCTGGTGCTGCCTGGGACACTCCTTTGCCTGCCGACAGGTCCACAAGGGCACGCCTTCCATGCTGTCCTGGGAGGTGCAGTTCCAGGGATTCGATGAGTGAATCTATGACTCGGAATGCGTGTATCTGCCACCCTCACAATGCTGGGTGCCAGCTCTGAACGATTCCAGCTTTCGTTGGCATTTCGATGCGAGCCTGGCAGTGTTCCTCGCGGGCGATCTCGGCTTAAGTGAGAGCCATGCAGAAGAACGCACTAATCACTTCCATCTAGAGTACCGGCTTTCTGCTTTCTACAAAGCTGCTTCTACTTGGTCCAGGACACACAGGATGATCGCTTAGCTGGTTAGCTTAGCTGGTATGCTGCGCCGACAGATTCTGTGGCTGTCGCTGGCCGTGGCATGCAATGGCAGTCCACTAGAGGCGATTCTTGAGGATGCCGCGTCACAGGTTGCAGAGAAATATGGCAAGGGCTTTGTCCTGACCCTTGCTGCAAGCAGTTCTTGTCGACCTGTAGCAGATAGATCAGACCGCTCATGAAGGAATTTGCTTCGGTCCTGAGGATTGAAGCCCTCATTTGTCGAAATTCTTTGTGCCAAAACAAGACCGGAGCACCGATGAAATGGGTTAGCTTCCTGGCAGCATGTTCCCGACGTCTACCAAGCGCCACCTTCACGGATCACCGACATTGGTTTGAAAGATGGGGTTTGTTCTTAAAGTTGCTAATGTTGCTGTTTTTATGATCTGATCACGCGTGATCCAAGCAGTGTCCCCGAGGCTTCTCCCAATAAGTTGGATCCGAGGTGATGCCGGGTTCCTGCGTGCAATCTGGACTCCTGCGCCTGCAACATCACCGTCCATCGAGGACTCAACTGTTCAAAAGTGGGTCGAGTCAATGAGTAAAACGCTGCAAAGAAGCAATACCATGGTTCTGGTTACAAGATTAGAGTAATTATCACCCGCTCCAACTCAGCAGAGCTTGGGCAGTTTGAAACACGTGGAAGCACGAGCCACTTCCGTGGTACTACGATGGGATAGCAGAGGCCGGAAGCGTTGCCGGACCGCTCCAGGCCCGCATCAACCTGACGGCTTCAAGTCCGAGAGTGCAGATTCTTCATCACGACGATCCATTCATGGAGGACTCCTACACTGCGAGGTCCGAGCATCTTGTTGCATAATTGTTTTCAGCACATGGCGGTTTCCCAAAGTAGGGGGCTTCACTATAGTGCCCTAAATAGTATAGGATCCTGATTATAAGGACCCCAAATAAGGTACCCCGTATTTTCGGAAACGCCCATATCATACCAGATAGGTATTTTATTATATATTATTACACTATGTTATAGACTTATATGTTTCCTCATATAACATCGTGGTGAGTTGTCCGACCTCGCGAGGATAGCCTGGTGGCCTCCTGGCCTCCGATCTCTGGCCTCACATTTGAGCTTGCAATGAAGAGGCCCCCACCCTGTAATAGTGACTATAAGGATTATAGTAGGGCCCTATTCTATTCCTATTATACCACTGTTACAGGGTGGGGCTTGCAATGAAGAGGCAAGTGGGTGGTTGTCAAAATCATGGCCCCTTTTAGATCCCTAGTCTAATACGCCACCTATCATTTAGGGTACCCCAAAAAGGGGCCATAATTTTGACAACTACCCAAGGGGTTTTGCAAGGGAGTTTCCAACCTTTCTCGTAATCTGTTTGCTTTTTGAAAGGAATAAGTAAGAAGTTCTTGAACAGACAAAATCAAGTCCGAGCGCGCCAAGATCCACTTCTTTCTATGAGGAACCTCTTGGCCAGGTTTGTTTTCAGCCCCTAAAGTCGATTGAAGGAATACACGTTGAGCAAGCAGCAATCAGTTTTGCCCGCCACGACATCGGGTCAGCCTGTGGACCGTGCTTGCTCCCCAACGGCAAATGCGCACAAACACTAAAACTCAGACAAGTGGACCGTCTTTCCATCCCTAGCGGATATGCGTCATCTTTTGTTGCTTCGTTCATTCCCACACAATTCGAGGGCTGCATGTCTGGGTGAGGGCACCTGTGTCAGAGTGTCCCAGAACGGACGAGGTTGCGAAAGCTGACGGACCAGGGCGTGATGCAGATGACCTTCCGCCGCCCGCTGCATCCGTCACTTTCCAGATCGGAATTCTTAGTCTGATATATATATATATATATATATATATTGGCACAATATGGTCTGTTGTTGTATTTGCTTAATTTTTCTGTGTATTTTATTGTTTGATGTTTGTATCGTAGTCCGGCATGTCCAGCATGCTGTTGACATGCCAATCGCGGCTCCAGGTGTGTGTCGGAAGACCTGTATCAATTTGAGATGATGCCTGCCTGGAACGACCTCGCTGTCCTGTCAATCGGTACTTCTTCTTACAATATCTGCCATGGCTTCATCACCGATGCCCAAGCATTTACAAGTATGCTTTGGGTTACCCTGGTAGTAAGGATCTCTGCAACACTCTTACAGGCAACAGCGCGAATCATAATATTCAGCCCAGGAGAAGTTGGATTACAAACTCTGCCCGGATCCGACCTGCTTGACGGAGGTAGCGATGGTTTGACAGCTTCCACGAGGCAGGCAGAGGAAGCCGAAAGTTAAAGGTGTTGCCCTCAAAGAAAAATATGCACGGAATCCTACAATCAGAACAACAGTATCAAAAATGGGACCAATAATCGTATGAAGAGCAACAGCAACTAATACGATCGCCAAATCACGGGCTGCTGTGACAATGATAGCGAAATCAGTCATAAGAAAACAACCGCAGATGCGAAAGCCCTAAACCCCTAAAAACGCCTAAACCTGTGCCTAAAAACAAGTCTTAAAAATCTAAGCCCAGGATAAAGGACGTGCCGGTCCCGGAAGCTACTGGCCTCTGGCCTTCTCAGACGAGGGGTTGCCATAAAGGAACCCTAAAACCCAACATTGTGGTGAGGGGCGGCCGGAGACGAAGGTGGATTTCCACTTGTGAGTACCCCCTGTCCCTAACCCCAACTACATAAGGGTGTTTGTCCCTTTTTAGGTCCCTATCATATTACGGCACCTATTATTTCGGGTACACAAACAGGGACCCCCTATGTTGACAACTACCCATGAGGGTGGAGGGTCCAGATATGTTGGGGTTGAGGGTAGCCCATGTGAGACTTCAGCGCGCTGTGGATTCAAGGTGAGAATGGGCAGGTCACAGTCGAAACAGAAGAGCATCCCTTGCTGTAGCACTCTTACAGTCAATTTTATAGTACCCCATGTGGGATATCCAGTTTCTTGAATGCCACTGCTCGGGCAGCCCAGGGAGTATCAACCGATCTCAGGCCGGCTGCGTCCAAAGCGGCGGTTCAAAAATGAAGAGCCCGCTGCGCACAGAGAGCCACTATATGGGTTGCTATAGGAGTACTTAAGGGTTGCTGTAGGAGTGCAAGAAGGGTACTAGATGAGATGATTTACTGACCCAGGCATACTTCAAGGCCTGGGGACCACACCAGTTTGTTTCAGTCGGCGAATTCCTTCTGCCAGGATTTCCTCTTCGACTGTGGCCCCAAGTCATCATTGAGGCTCCCAGCGCCGAGCATGAACTCTTCTACGTTTTAGGGCTTAGGGTTCCGACTCAGCAGATGAGTAGCAGTCGGATCCACATCACGATATCATAATCCGGTTGCCGCTCCCTGTGGACCTTGGATCTAGGGTTAAGCCGAACGAACACTTGACTCTTGGCTCCGAGCGATGTTTTTCGTGCTTCTGCGGGTTTGGGGCTTGTGCTTTACATTTTGGGCTTGAGTCAAGGGTTCGGTTTTGCAGGATGGTGGCTAAGGCAGGGAGAGAGCTCAGGAGTTTTGTATTCCCGAAGCCCTCAAGCTCAGAATCCAGAACCGCCTGGCCTCACAGCCCGCAACCCTGAACCCTAACCCAAAATTGTCCCTAAGACCCAGACATGCTAAAGAGCACCCCCTGAACCCTGAACCGAGCAACGAAAACCCGTTAATCCGTAAAATCCCTTAATCCATACAGCCTCATCCCATCAGCCTTGAAACCCCTAAACCCTATACCCTCAAGCCAAAATAAAGTAGAAGTTGCGCAGTGAAAGCAAGGCAGGGCATAAACAAAGCACAAAAGCCATCCCCAACAACAAGCCAGAAAGTACAAGAAAACCCGCCAAAAATCAGACAAAATTCCGCAGCCAAACCCTACCCGACAAATCTCCGCACCCAAACCCTACACAACTTCTATAAACCAACAACCCGAAACCGTAAACCGGAAGGTCGCGCGGGAACTCTGCCATGGTCTTTGATGAGAAGTGCCCAATCCTCTCGAAGCACACGAAATGCTAGCTAGGGTTTGGGGTTTACGATAGCTAGGAGCTAGGTTTGAGGGTATAGGGTTTCGGGTTTGGGGGTTTGGGGTTGAGTTTTGGGATTTAAGCAAAGATCCGTTAGCAGCTCTTGCGCTCCATTTTCAGGACTATTGCTACCCTTGTCCTGGTTGTTTAAATCTTGCTTACGTCTGCAGAGCCCCCAGTACAAATTCCTGTATGTTTGAGGGGTGTCAGGGCTCAGGCTTATACGAACTCTGATCGCTGGCCTCCTGCATAATTACAGCATCCTCCAAGAGCATGTCGGTTTATCGACCGGAACGGATCCGCCTTGCGAATCGCTTCGGCCGCAGCATTTCCAGGAAAGCATGGCCACATAGGGTCTCGGGTTTAGGGTTTAGTGCGTCAGCCGCAACAGAAGAAGGGGAACGACAGTAAAGATCCTGCCTCGCTATCTCAAGAACTTCACTAGATCTCATGTCGGATCTTAGTGTAAAACCTTGTAGCACCCCTTGTACCATCTTACAGCATCAAAGAGCCAATCAAGGGAACTTAACACACTTGGAGCTCCCGGCTGCTCCCCACAAGATGCGGTCCAAGCCCAAGGCTGGCTGGGCACATGTTTGAGATGAAGGGTTTAGGGCTTAGGGCCTTATAGGGTTTATATAGAACTCTACGTACAATCATAGTAGCAATGGCCTTAGGGTTTAGTTTCTTCTGGTCTTCTGGGCTTCCACACTTTTTTGTGGAGCATCCTGGATGCACGTCCATAGCAGCCATAGCAGGGGAGGCTTGGTTGATGCGTTTCGGTGGCGCAGCCTCCCATGTTTAGGTTCTATCTCCCCCTATGATAATGGAAGAAATCTACATGTAATCATGGTCGCAACAATAGTACTCGTAGTAACAATAATACGTAATACTATTAATCATAGCAACAGTTAATAATAAGAACAAATCAGAAAATAAGAGTAATACCAGTAACAAAATATTTAGCAGTATTAATATGTGAGAGAATTCCGAAGGCGAGACTTGCACGAGAGCATTTGTTTCTGCCACATCAGCCATTGGCTTGCTGATGTGATGTCGTTTTCAGGGCGGGTGCAGGCTGAGTGAGCATGAGCAAGTTTCGTCTGGTCCCGTTGAAGTCAATCTCAAGATTCTCAAGATATTCGAGATTCTCTGAGCGCCGTGGTGGTGGCTTGTTTGCATGATGCTAGGCCTTCGCAAGGAGATTGCAGGCTGAAGTAGCGAGTCAAGAACCCCCCCAAACCAGTGACCAGTGTGTTAATTCCGTGGCACATCGTGGCACCACCAACCCCCAGGCAACTAAACAGGCGAAGCCAAGCCGTTTTTTGTTGCGTTGAAAGTTCTTCGAAGACACTATAAACATCCACTGGCTCAAGCCACGGATGTTCAGGAACATCCATGTATTTCAGGTGTGCACGCGAACATCAGACCCGTTCGCAAGGACGCAGCTTGAGCTGTACGAGCCGCCTCATGCCTTGTCGACCCTCTTGGCAGGCCTTCGACGATCTGTTGCCAGAGTCGAGTTCCAGGGGTTCCAGCGGTGTCTTGGCAGCGACTCGTGAACCTTGTGGACGAACTTCAGAAGCCAAGCCGTCAACAGTCGTTGGGAATCCCAGCAACGCTCCAGGATCCTGCCCTGAATCACCGTTCATGCTGCAGGTAATGGTGCGGCCAAGAATGCTCGCAGGCAGCGCACGGGTCTGCTGAGTCATGAGTCATGAGGCAAAATAGTGTTGCTAAGGGCATAGACTGCCTTGTGCGTCAGGGTGCAGCGTCGGGACACCGCCGAGGATGACTCCAGCATGTCCATGGCAGGACGCCCTCAGACTTGTTGGCTGGTTGGCTTTCTGAGGCTGGCACAACCAGCACACGATATCCATGCCGGCTTGCATGTCAATGCCTTAGCTGCTGCAGGACACCCGGAGGGTCCTTACGGTGATGGCGGCATGGTTGCAGTGATGGCTTGCATGAACGGACCTTTGCCTCTAGCCGAAGGCTCGAAAGGAGAGCTCTAGGCTTCAACGCATGCTGCTTCATGCTCCGTGCACCACAGGCCTCCAGTATCGGGCCTCTTAGACTCTAGCCTCGACTTCAAGGTTTCATAGCGCCAACGACCTCGGACAGAGCGGAAATAAGTTTCAGAGCCGCTGAGGCAGCCACACCTTTGGCCGGTACAACAACTTTGCGAACGCGGCGCACATGCTTTGCAGGCCCGCAGAAGCATGCTTGCCAGGAGTCAGACTATCCAGTGATTCTAGAGCCCCTTCCGCGGCTCTGAATGTCTGGTCCATGTCTGGCTGGTTTGGTAGTTCAATGCAACCAACTTCCAAGCATGGAAATGTTATTGCTGTCGCCTCTTCGCAAGGCTTGTCCGGCGAACCTCAGGCAATCCGCACGCCATTGACCCTCAGATAGAAAGCTTATGCAGCTGTGCTGAGCGCTGTCAGAGTTGTGTTGAAGCGCTGGCAGAGGATTGGCAAATGAATCTTCGCGGCGGTGTCGGGCGCAAGCCGGAGGACGGCTGGCGAAGGTACTTCAGCCGGAAGCAGGCACATCCCGTCATCAGATTGAAGCTGCAGTGTAAACCTCAGAGGCGCAGCTCTATACAGCCTCTGTGACAGGCAAGCTTCGATGCGATACAAAGGATCTGCAATCCCAACGACGAGGTCACGCGGCCGAGCGCAGAAGAGCACACCTGCCCCTGTCGTGCCCCTAGTATCGCGGCAGCAATTTGCTCTTCGAGGCGTACCAGTCGCAACTCGGAACGCCCGCCGACAACACCTTTGACCGTCACAAAGGCTCTGGGACTGGGATATACTACACTATACTATATTATACTAGACCATACTCTAGCCCCAAAGACGTGAGATGCGAGATCCAGACAGGCGCGATCAAATGTTCCACGATCCGGGATCTTCCCATCTCCTTCGAGAGGGCCAAAGGCTGCGAAGGTGCTCAGGCCCGGACCTTTAGACTTACCGTTGGTTAGTAGGGAATGGAGGAATGGGGTACAATTATAACTACTATTACTACCATTCTTCCTTTCCCTACTAACCAAAAGTATGTAGACTTTGAAGCCTTTTCTTCATGCCTGCATAGCTTTAGGATGTTGTAGGGCTTGAGGGTGTAAAGTTCAGGGTTTTGGGCTCCGGCCTTCAAAGTGATAAACGATGCCTATATCGGCGCTTGCTTTTGGACTCACAAGAGGGAAGAAGCTCTTCGTCGGATTGATGCAGACTCACGATGTCAGCGAAAGCACGAGAGTGCCCTCAGACGCCTGGAGTGGTGTCTGAAGATGAGAGTGCAGCAATCCACCTGAAGCGCACTCACAATATGGATCATGCACTGGCATGCACTCCTCTTCGAAATGCCCAGATATGTTGCTGCACACCCTCGTTCTCACGACCGCCATCCTTCAATGGCTTTAAAGTCCACGGTCCATCGCCCGTCCTGCTCTCTTCGCTCCATCTCATAGCACCGCCATACCTGCTGTCACGCTAGACTATGCAAGTACCCTCCTACGCCGTGTTCGGCGAACTCGACGAGTTCGTCGTGCTATAGTGATACGCAGTGATAGGTGATGTTTTTGGAAGCCAACTGACGTGCAACAGATGCTGGTACATGCTCAGCGGCATGTACTTACTTGCACATACATTTATGAATACTTTAACTTTCTAAAGTGTACGTTATAAAGTTATAGTAATTATGTATGGTAACATAGTTACCGAACCAACTTGCATCCGGACTCTCTGGTGCAGGCTGGACAGTGGCGACATATCTTCCAAGAGAAACCAGCAGCCGCGGCCTCAAGCCGTAAGGAAATGAAGGCCGAGTGTACCTCTGTTACTCATATATCATAGAAATGAATACTTCAATATGTCTCTCTCTACATAGATATATATATATATATATACGGATATTCATATATACACACATATGTATATACATAAATATGTATAAATATATATGTACATACAGCTAGTTGTATAATCAGGATAATGGAGTACTCTATTCACGTCCTTGCTATTCTTGTTACATATCCACTGTTATTGCACTACATTATGTCATGCCATATCAGACCGGGTTAGGCTAGGTTATAGTGCCTGATATATGTGTGTATTATTGCTTTAGAGTATATTTTTACAATTTTATACTGGGCAACATCAGACTATATTGTGGGAGAACACATTGTATCAGAATATTGTAGTTTGATGTAAAGTGGTGTAATATGATATATTCTGGCGTAGCTTCGTATAGTATTTTCGAAACATAGTAGAATGCGACATAACATTGTATGATACTAAACAAGAATGTAGAACATGTCAATAACAGTAACTACAGCAATATTGTTACCCATTTACGAATATGAGTTGTGATAGATTGTATTACAACGTAGTATAATCTGACATAACCAAATACAGTGAGCAAAAAGAAATGTGTGAACATTATAAAGGCTTTCAATACAGCGTCGTAAAGTCTCGTACCGTATATAATGCAATGAAACCCCAAATTATGTAATACCGTATAACATAGCACAGCGTCGCACTACATGCATACGTAGATACTACACACACATGTATGCGTGTGTGTATATGTGTGTATATATATATATATATGTATATGTGTATATATATATATGTGTATGTATATATATATATATATATATATATGTGTAGCTGCCTTTCGAGGCGACGAGGCTACAACTGCAGCACTTGACCACGTTGCGGGAGATGCCAGGCAGGTGATGGAGAGCTTTCGAGATCCCGTGGCGCAGGTTTTGGTTCTGTGATCTACGTACTGCCATCGACACGCGATATGATTGAAAAACCAGGTGCACGCATTCCCAGCCTACATTGACTATATGTTATATCGTCTGTACAGGTGCGAGCTTGGGGGTATGCTGAAAAACCCGTCTGACCAATTCTCGCAAAATCTGGCACCGTTGCCCCTGCACACTCTCGATCGCGACGGTGTCTGAGTGTTGCTGTATGACTCAGCGATGCAAGGTCAGGATGAAGGCATCCGGATTTCCGACAACCGGAGCGATGCTTGTTGGGTCCAGCGCTCAGTCTATACACTCCGCTCGCTCGCTCCCTCGCTCGACATTTTCAGACACACCAACCCGCCCGCCCGCCTGCCTGCCCGCCTTAGCCCGCACCCGTAAAGGGTCGAAACGGTGCGCAGTCAGCCACACGGACATACAGACTAGATGGGCACATTGATTGACAGACTGCACCACGCAAGGTCGAAATGATGGGCAAAAAGCGATGGGAGAATTGTAGGCCTGCGCCTCAGTGGTCAGCGATCTCTTCTGTCTGGTTCTTAGTAGGGAACGGGGGAATGGATTATGGAGACTATTATTGGGGATTATTTACATAGGGACTACTATAGGGATCCATCCCCCTATTCCCTTCTAATTCAGAGCGCAGCTCCAGGCCGCGCAATCCATTGGAAAGACATCCTCAAGAAGGCGGTGATCCAAAGATGCATCACAACTACTGGCTGAAGGCACCATTCCTTAGTTGGATCTGAAGACGCAGGTGTTACGGTAAGAGTCCACGAATTGAGATTTGCAGAACCTAAACCATTCAGACTGCTGTTAGGGTTCTAGTTTCTCTTGCCTCGGATCCGATGCCGGGCAGACTGAACTTCACGCAAATCACGTGACCATCTTCATGCATGCCAGGTGAAGCCAGAGCCCGATGAGGACGCGCGCAAAGTGCGCAAGACAAAGACACCACGACTCTCTGCTGAGGCCTCCATTCCGCTCCAGATGCCCATGGATTGGCAACTCTATTATGTTGTCTCATACGACCGGCATTTTTTATAAGAAGGATGCATAGGTGCCTCGAGCCAGCCCGCTTCACAGGAAAAGGCTTGCAGAACGGTCGCCTGATCGATGCCCGAATCTCAGGAAAGGCTGCGAAGGCCGTGGGCACATAGTTATGTTTCCCTTGTTGTTGATGCATGATGTCTCTTCCTTTGCTGTGACTAAGGGCTGAACAAAGATTTGCGTGCCAGCGCTTCAAGTCAGCCTCCAACCTCGCCGGAGGTGTTCAGTTAAAGCCCTCATGGTCTTTCATCCGTTCAAGCAGTGAAAGACTAGCGGCTAGCGTTTTTCAGCCGGCCGTGGGAGGGTGCCCCTTTTTCCAATGATGGCTTAAACACTGGTGCCGCTAAATTATAGGCACATGGTTCACTTGATGCCCAGAGAGCGAGAATAGGCGCAGGGATTGATGGAATGGCAACCCTTCAGAAGGTTGCCTCGCCAAAGATGATACTACAGGGGCCTAAACCATTACCTTTATTTTTTGCGGGATTCCTTGTTACATTTATAGTATAAGATGCGGGTTATGGCAACAGCGTAAAGTCTGGAACACTGCCCGCAAGTTGTACAGAATCTTGCAATTCTTCTACGGAGTTGCTCCAAAGAGCAGATGAGATGCTGACTGCACCGGCAGAGCGAGCATTGTCCAAGACAAGCTCCAATGAAGTGCCGTAATATGGGGGCCTTAATAATCACCTACTTTGGGGGGATTCCTTATTATGATTATAGTATAATGGGCCCCAAAACCCGATTCTAATTACTAAGGACCCTGTAGTAGCTTCGGATCCATTCTGCCACTAATCGCCCATCGCTCTGGGCGTTTGTAGTCTAGGAGGTCACGCGTTTGGGCCGGACAGCTTAGTACGTAGTGGATTCCCGGTCGCTGCACCGTTTCTTCTTCTTTGTAGTGCCGAAGGTCGGTCTTGGTAACCTCTATGTTGCGACGAGGCCCAACGCTGGTGCAAGCTATGTGCCGACGATTTGAAGCGGTCCATTGGCAAGCACCTAATATCAACTTCGGGGACAGGTGAGGGACGCTGAAAGCGCGCACCCACTGAACAATCTCCGTTTCACCCACGTCGGCGTGCACTAAAATGCCCTAGCAGCACTTGCGTGACCGGCAAGAAGCCGTGGCTCCGAAGCACTCCCACCACACCCTGGTGGCAGGCAACACGGCTTAGACGACTAGTCGTTGCAGCAGGAAGGGCCCAGAAGACAATCAATCGGTGTCATTGCCGTGAAGCAACAGGTACCGCAGGCGAACATTCACCTGGCAAGGGGAGGCCGGGGGGAAGAGCTGAAGTTTTTGAGATGATGCCTAGCAAAAGGCAACTACTGTACCCTGTCGCTGGCTGCCCTAGCTTGTTTCCTGCATACCTGCAGAGCTGACACTCAACCACGGCTGATGACAAGCATTCCGGTGTGTTTGAACATGACCGCCTATAGGGGCCTTTTAATAATCACCTGTACTATGTTGGGGAATTCGTTCTTATATTTATCGCATAATGGGCCCCAAAGCCCGATTCTATTTACTGAGGCCCCTATGTCATAGAACCCTACTATAGATCCCCATAGTAACCCCCTTAAAGGACTCCTTAAAGGAACCTTATGGCCCTATTCTAGTATAAAACGGGCCCCAAAACCCTGAGTACCCTTATAGTAGCCCTTATAGATCCCTTCTAGTAGCCCTTATAGATCCCTTATAGTAGCCCTTATAGATCCCTTATAGTAGCCCTTATAGATCCCTTATATTGAAACCCTGTGAGACCGGCCGCAGTCACGGACAGGTTCGTGTGATCCGCGAAGGCTTCGAGGCCCAGCTCTTTTTTGCGCGTCTGGGAGTTTTCCGAAAATTAGGGGGGTGCCCCTTGTTTTGGGATCCTTTAAGGGTTGCTTTAAGGGATCTAGAAGGGTTCTATAAAGGGTTTAGGGTTTAGAGTTTCCGAAAATTAGGGGGTGCCCTTAGGGTTCCTTTAAAGGGTTACTATAAGGGTACTGTAAGGGTTCCTTGAAAGGGCTCTTTGAGGGTTTTGGGTTTCCGAAGATAAGGGGGTATGTTGGGGTTCATGTAAAGGGTTAAGGGTACTATAAGGGTTCCTTTAAAGGGCTCTTTAAGTTTAGGGTTTCCGAAAATTAGGGGGTGCCCTTATTTTGGTATCCTTATAGTAAGGATCCTGGTATTTTAGGGTACTTACTCTATTGGGGTCCCCTATTTTCGGAAACTCCCGTCTGAGTCAGGGTGTTCAAGCAGAGCAAGGGTTTTGCTTGCTTGCATGGTGCACAGGTCTTCTTCGTGCGCACGAAGAGTGTGTTAATGGCCGGAGCACTCAGTTTCGGAAGCTGAGCCTTGTCGGGGACCCCGTCCCAAGTGATTTGGTAATGGTATACAAGGAGCATCCTCACGCTGTGCATGAAACTGAACTTTAGTTGTGGCAGTTATGCGCGTTGCTGTCCGCAGCTTCAGCTGAAGGTGCGCATGTACCCCTCTCGCTTTCCTCGTGCTGGGCCCAGAATGTGCTGGTGCGCATCTCCCTTCCATTGGCTGGTACACAATTTTCGACATTTTGAGAGAACGGGTTGGTGCTGTTCCCGGAACAACGCGAGTGCCTTTGAGGTCGAGATCTGCCAGATGTGGCATTGCTCTTCAGCGAATCTCTCAACAAGGAGGTGCCTTTGCGATTGCAGGGCATGTAGGTGGCTCTCCTGTCTTGGCGCAAGTAGCCACAGGGCGTGCCAGATCTAGCAAAAGATGAGGTGGGAATGCATGTTCGCAAACATCCAATAAAATTATCCATTTCGACGGGGATGGGTTAGCTGTCAGTGTCAGTGATGACTTAGCGTGTTGCAAGGAACCGACTTTGCCACTTGCAAGCGCGCATGTACACTGCACGAAGACCTCACGAAAGATGGCCGTACCGGCTTGACGATAGCCATTGGAGAAAGATTTAGAAGCCTGGGGCCAGTCGCAATGCTTGTTCACCCCCTGCAACGTTGAATTGTCGAGTCAAACAGAACATAACATGTGTATATATATATATATATATACACATACATGATACATACGCACATATATATATATATATATATGTACATATATATATATATACATATATACATATATCTTTTTGTATTACATTCTGTCACCACCCGAAGAACCCAACATATTTGGCTCATTGGGGTCCTTGAGTCTCGATGTCGCGTGGCAGTGCGTGGCGTGTGTCCTTGCAAGGGGCCAAGCTAATCTTATCAGCATGTTGACTTTTGCTAACTGCATAGTCCGTCATTCGTTGCCATTCAATGTCTTGACACTTGTACTATTGGTCAACCACGGCTTCTGGACATAGTGATGAGAAGAAGCCGGAGAGGAGAAGGAAGGGCAACACTTGCGACCTCAGAGCTTCTCCAAGTGAAACCAAATGATTGTAAATACCTTCTGTGCCAACATACCGCGCTTCTGCTGCAGATTGCGGAGCTGACGCCGGGTGACTGGGTGGAGTTCGAGGCGGACATGTCGCACTAGATTCATTAATATAGGGGCCTTAGTAGTTATACTATAAATGGATAAGGATAGGTAATTATTAAGGCCCCTATATTTTTGATTTCGTCAGTGTCTCGCCAATTTCAGCAGATGCGCCATGTGTAGAATCTCAGCTCGCGGAATTCCTGCTTTTATCCCCGGAGGCCACCATGACCTTGCATGGATACCGAGGGGATCCTGAGGTGCGCGACACGCTGCCCCAGTATGGGATATCATAGTTATATGGTATTTTAGGACATTTTGGGATTGACAGGGCAATACAGGAAAAGATGGGCTTTTACACAGTAAAAGTTCCCTGAGACCATGTGTGCTGCCGTCCGAAAGAGCAGAGGAGGCGACTAGGGTGAAGAGTCAAGTAAACGACCATGGACGGCAGAAATACTGCGGTTGAGTTCCTGCGCCTGGTCGCCGAAACCCGAAATTCTGAGCCATTTTATAGAAATCAAGATCTCATAGCCCCCCGAAACACCAAACTCAAACCCAAAACCCTAGCCCAAAAACCCAGAGCGCCTGCCTCTAATTCTGCCAGCTGATGACGCTGTGGCACATCAAGCGCGTTGAGCCGCCGACGCCGCTGTCAAGCTCAGCTGGACGAGGCCCAGAGTTAGAGCGAAGTTCACATAAGACAATATGGGAGCTTCCGAAAATTAGGGGTACCTTATTCTGGGGTCCCTTATAATAAGGATCCTACTATTTAAAGGGTACTATATTAGGGTCCCCTATTTTCGGAAACTCCCATATAGCACACACTGGATAGTATGAGGTAGTAGAATAGAAAGATAGCAGAATAGACTAGGATAGACTATAGTATATACAGAAGTAGAGTGACACCGACAGCTTAGAGCTTGCGTTGAAGACGAATCGCGACTTCGGCCAGGGGGCCCTGGGTCTGGACGAGCTGAGCTGAACATGGCCGAGGCCAAGGTTTGATTCAAGCAACTATGGTTTTTTTGTATATTAAATACGATGTTATTATATCTTACATCATAGGATATCAGTAGGATATTCTAGGATATTATATAGTGTGTTATCGTAGAATATCGGACAGTAGGATGCTCTACCCGTATAGTCTTGCATATTACGGAGAATGTCACGAGAGAACAGCGGTGGCTGCATCGCTTTGCAGGGAAAGAGACCAGTGGAAGCAGAAGCGATCCCGGCTGGCTCCCAAGGTGAAATGCCTCGTGATTTTTTGGTGAGATTGAATTTCCGATAATCTACTGTACAACACCCTAGAATTAGACCGTAATAACGTTCTATAACATGCTCAGAGTCTCTCTAGATGTATTTTGCACTGTGCACGGATTGGACGCGAAGTGGCTGCCGACATGCCGACGCGACCTTGAGTCTGCATGTTGCTGGTCACGCTTTGCAGAGCCTTTCCCGAGGTCGAGTCAGAGGTCAAGAAGCCTGAGCCAGAGGTCAAAGACTCCCAGCCACAAGAGAGCCCTCAGCAGGCGGACTGTGTGAGATGGAAAAGTTGTCCAGAGCCTTCCTACAACATGGCGTTTCAGGTGGCCGAAGCGGAACCTCAGAAGGAGACGGAGAAGGAGACGCAAGTGCGCCAGCCATTGCTTTCTGCGCCATATGCCACATTGAAACCCTAAACCCTAAAGGTCTTGAAAGCACGTAAAGCTCGCTAGACCCTTCAACACCTTCATCGCACAACGGGCTACCCTTATGGTAGCCCTCTGAAAAGTAGCTTGTAGAGGAATTTCGGTAGGGACCTTAATAATTGGAATAGGCTTCGTGGGCTCCTTATTACAATTACAGTATAACATACCCCAAAACCCTATTCTAATTATTGGGGGCCCCTATATCGTAGAAGCCTCCTTTCGATCCCCTATAGACCCCTTTAAGGGACCCCTTAAAGGAAGTCTAGTCTAATTGTTAAGGCCTCTATATCATAGAACCCTACTGTAGATCCCCTATGGATTCTCCTTTAAAGTACCACTTAAAGGAAGCCTGCTCAAAAAATTCCTTAAAGGAACCCTAGTCCAATCATGAAGGCCATTTAAGGCCGCTACAATAATTACTTCTTATAGTAACCCTGATAGGACCCTTTTCAAGAACTCTTTCAAGGAAGCCCTGCCTAATTATTAAGGCCATTTAAGGCCCCGACGGTAGCCAGGCGCCGGAGGTCGAAGCAGCGCCGGAGCAGCCAGTGGAGGCCTGCTCCTCGCGCCTCGGAGAGCTTTCCAGAGCATGACTCTTAGATCTCTTAGGCTCTATGCTATGTTATAGGTTAATGTAGGATGGCATAGGATATTATAGTTTGTTACATGATATCACAGGTTGTTATATATATATATAGGATATAGGACGTTAGAGGGTATTACACTATTGTATAAGATACTACTGTCAGTATTCCGATAATACGGTATGGAATGTTACCTAATGTGAGTCGACTCTACGGTACTCTGTTTTTGTATCATTCCGAAATTACAGTATGGTATAGAATATTACCTTGTTGTTCTTGCATTGTTGTGCTTTTAGGATGTTAGCATATAGTAACTATGGTTTGGTATGGCATGGCAAGGAGGGTATAGAATTGCATAGTATAGTATAGCATAGACGGCTTTGTTGTGCTATTCCACATCATGCTGTATCTTGCTACGTAATATGGTGTCATATGACAGTTGTATTGCATCATATGGTTGTGCAGTATATTTTATGGTCGTACACTTACTATAGTCATGCTGCGTTATAGTATAGCACAAGATACAACGTACCGCTTCCACTTTCTTTATGCTATGTTGTGTTATAACTTCCTGTGTTGGTTCGGATTCAGCATGTTTCCAGTGACGCCGCAGGCCCAGCCAGAGACGACGCTGCAGGGCAGTGAGTGAAAGTGACCGCCGCGAGCGCCGTCTTTTGAAAAGTAGGGTCCAATTCATGCTAGGCTTGACATACCTTGCCTCCGTACAAGATGACCATCAGCGCTTCATGAACATCATGTCAACCAAGTCATTCAACAGATCATTGGCTACCTGCCCGCCTGCCCGAAACGGGCAGTGCGCAGGATCTGCCTGGTGCTCGTGCTGCAACTCTTATGTAATATAATATCCAATATTGTAATATAACTTTTTTGTACATAATATATATATATATATATACACATGTATATACAAACTCTTGCTTCAGCACAGCTATTTGCATCAACCCAAAGGGATGCTCAGCTTGATGCGAAGACCGGATCACGGGGCAAGACCAGGGCTGCTGCCACGCCGTGAGAAAAACCAGGATCTCCCACAACTCGCAGAGAACCACTGCGACATGATGAGGCTGCATGACGGAAGGCCCAAATCCAGGCATCCTAGCTTGTGCCTACCATGGGAAATGCAGCATGAATGTCCATCCTTTGCGGTGTTATCAGGTCGCTCTTCCCACGTCCGTTAGCAGTCGTGGCGTGTCTCCGAAGACGCATCTCTAGTTACTCCAGTTGGTTTGCAAAGATGGCTCGTCGTTGGATGGCCAAAGCAACATCCTCTCCGGCGACCGCTCCACTTCAAACGACAGCACGGTCAGAGCAGCTGTGCTGGCAGGGGGTCAATGGGCAACCCCTTTTTGGAAGATAGATCGGCAGGAGTGTGGGTGCACCCTCGAGGCCCTAAACCCCTAAACCGTTTGGCCCAAACTCCCCAAAGGCCCGGAACCCCACAGGCAACTCTCTACCTAAACCCCTTAGCCCAAACCCTCCAAAGGCCATAAACCCTACACCTTAACCCTAACCCTAACCCCCCCCAATAAGGCCCCAAACCCTACACCTAAGCCCCTTCACCCGAAGCCCTAAAAGGCTCGAGTTTCCTGTTTTCTTTAAGGCCCCGTGCCTCCCGTGCTTCGGATGCCCGCCATTTCCGAGGCACCGTTCGGAGCTGCCTGCACCTTCCATTGCCGTTGTGGGATCAGGAGCCCGGGGGAGTGTTAGGGTTCCGGGTTTAGGTTTAGGGGCCCTAAGCCCTAAATCCCAAACCCTCTTTGAGGAACTCCGAGGGGCAGTGGGGTGGGGATTGGGGAGGGCAATTGGGGCTTTAGTGCGGCTTGGGCTTGGGGGTTAGGATCTTTCGGAGCGTTTTCCTCCACATTAAGGAGGTCGTGGGAGTCCTCTCGCGGGGGCCTCTCTGCTTTCACCAAGTTCAGATGCCAGTGGCTGTAGTCCGTCTGTGTCTGCGTCGACCTGAGTCTTTTTGTTTCGGAATTACAACTCTCAGGTGTCTTTCGGCTATGCACTCTGGACGTCAAGGGTCGAACACATCCTTGCTTGCAAATGTTGGTCAGGAGTGGCAGCCTTGGTGTGCGCACGACGACTTGCAAGAATGGCAAGAGATACTCAAAGCTGCCTTCATGGAGCACGTCTAACTCTTTGCACCAGCCGCGGTAAGCTGGCCACGCAGATGGGGCCAAAGAATATGACTCTTGCCCAGCCAGGGAAGCCCTTCTTCGATTATGGCTGCCAATACATCTCGGTGAGCAGCGACTGGTTTATTGCAGAACTTGAGCTTTGGAAGAAATTTGGTTTCTGCCAAGTCTTGCCCCCGAACGAGGTTGGCACCATATCCTCGCAAGGCTTCCAAGCACTTCCAGGGGACTGCTGGGTCGGGAATGGAGGCATGGCCCCTATGCTTCGAAACATACATCAGCAGACAGCTCAAGAGTTTGAAGACGTCTTGGAGCAAGTCAGTGGCTTTCCGAACGATGCTTACAAAGTGGTGGGCCTTCGCAAAGACACTAGCGGCCAGTGGGAACTGCAGATGCAGGGTGGCGGAACTTTGGGACCCTTCACCTACGTTGTCGGAGGCTTTGCGCAGCATATTTTGACTGATCCATTCCTCCTGAGTGGGGAGCAGCGTGCTCGGCAATGTTGGAATGTCTCCGCAGGGTGGAATCCAACCAGCTGATCGTCATGCAAGTCAGCTTTGAGGGCGAGCCTCTACCAATTCCGTTTACAGCCGGGCATGTGTGCGACGATGAGTCTCTCAGCTTCATCGGCAACAACAGCCAGAAGCCTCAGCAGAACGGAGAATGGGGAACTCCTGGCCCGCAGCAGCTCACACTTATCAGCACCGCTGAGTTCGCAGAGCGCGAGTTCAACTGCAACCCGAAGGGCTACCGCCGAAAGGCGGAGGAGAAGCTCCTGGGATCCTTAGGCCGGCTCCTGAAGGTGGACGTTTGGCAGTACAAGCCCCAGATCAACCGGATAAACCACTGGGAGGATGGCCTGCCGAGCAACACTCCACCAGCTTCCAAAGGCTGTCTCTTCGATGCGAAGGAGGGTCTCGGCTGGTGCGGGGACTTCTGTGTCGCTCCGGGCGTGGAAGGGGCTGCAAGATCTGGTGCTGCCATGGCTGAAGTTCTGGAATCTTGTCTGAGACAGGTCACCTTAGTTTCTGACTCGAGTTCAGTCGTCATGTCTCCATGACAATCAGAGGCATCCTTCCACGGACAGAAAGACTTTTGCGGAGATGGCTTATTGCCCATGGATGTGGACTGGGTGTCCATCGGCACAGCTTCAGGGTTCGGCGTCGTGGATATTGGTGCATTCCCTGGAGTTCCATCTCGCTGCACACACACACCGACCACGTGCCCTCCGCGATTGGAGGCTATGACAAGGCAGGGGTCAATTTGTAGCAGGACGGAACACTGCAGGGAATGCTTGCTCGTTTCTGGCACCTTAAACCCCTAAACCCTAAACCGTCAGATACCAACAATCGACAGGCCAAGGCACATTTTGGTCACGTGGGCGCCGCAAAAGGATACAACGGCAAGGGCAAGGACTTCCAAAGCAAGGGCGGCAAAGGTAAAGGCAAAGGCAGGTGGGCACAGCATGGCCAGTCGAATCAGGATTTCTGTGTTGTGAGCAGCTATGTGTAACTACGAATATCTACAAGAATGGGCCATCCGCAGCCACTCCCGAAGGCGGCAAGGGTAAAGGAAGCCTTTGGAAGGGAAAGTGAGGCCCCAATGGCAAGGAAGCGACAGCGGTTTAGAGCTCACTGCCTCACTTTGAGTGAGAAGCTGCTCTTTGTACAGGAGTTGTGGGCTACAATCTTTCCGCACCGGGACTGTATAGGAAGGTGTACCGAAGCCCAGGATGGCTTAGTGGATTTTGGGAGATGCTTGAAGGTGTATTCGTGCTACACCCCGAAGGATTGAACCGCAAACCCTACTTGGAGGATCATGGGACTTAGTTAGTAAGGTTATAAGTACCTTGATGGGGGATATAAGTATAGTTCCTCTAACTACAACCCCAGTTAGTAAGTCCCATGGTCCTTTAAGTAAATGCTTATAAAGCGGACCCGGAGCTTCGCACCAGTTTTCTGCCCCGAGATGCCATTTCGTACAGCAAGTAGCCATGTATTGCATTCTTCTGGATGCTGCCTCCATCCAAAGTGGTGTAAGTAGAAGTTCAACCATGCCACAGTTGTGGCTCGTTTTCGGCATGCGATCTGGGCCACTGACGGGATAGTGAAGAGAATCGAAAATCAAACCAGATGCCATGGGTAATGAAATACAAGGCTTGCAGAAAATATTTTAGTTTTTCATCGGCAAAAGAGTATGGATTACTTGGTGCTAATTTTGAATGCTGGTAATAATGGTATCAAAAGAGATACTACTATATATTATTTAATTTTATTTGTATTAGTTATTGGATAATTACATTAGATAATTTCCGA